CTCACCTTTTGAGGATGAAGGAAACCAGAATATGTCACCCCAAAATATGCCTCTTTGACATAAAAATTACTTTGAGCTGAAGGCAATTAAGAAGCAGCAAATGCAGGAAAACCTCTCTCCACTGTCCTGTCTTTCTGTGTGAAGGCAGGATATCAATTCTTCTTTTCCTGGAGACAGGCTCCTGTTAGCCCAGAGAAGGCACCAGAGGAGTCTCCAAACACAGCTTACTCTATTAGTCTTCTCTGTATGCCTACCTCCCCATGGTTTATGGCCCTTGGATGCCTAAGACTGCTTTTGTCTTATCATTTGTCTACCAATTTGTTGTTTTTGTTGATGGTTTTCTATCAGGTGCACTGCTAAGCCACCAACTTTGAGTTATTTACGTTTATGTTTCTCCTGTGTGATTTGTGTTGCACTTGTTCCTAAGCTGTCTTTCTCTTGTTAATTTGTCTTTTTTTTAGAGTCCCAGATGAAAACCTAAGATGGGTAAAGTTTTGCCTCCTCCACAAGCACTTTATATTTTATCCCTTCAATCTTGAAACTGTTGTTTCCCTTCGATTTCAGTGAAAACTGCTCAGAAATCATTTTGCCTCCTATTTGTCTGATTAGTTCTTGCATTCCTCTTTAGGATTCTTTTATGCAGATATCCCCCTAGGGTCTTTGTTTTTTGTTTTTTTTTTCTATTCTCTCCCTTGCTGATTTCATCTACCGCTATAGTTTTAACTGTTTCTTCATTTTTAGAATATCCACTTCTGTCTCCTTTAACCTCAGTCTTAACTTTTTTCATTAGTTCCAAACATGGCATTTTCAGACAGGTCTTAAGGTGTTTCTAATTCAACCTATTAAAACTGGCTAAAAATAATGAACCTTCACCCTGAACTTAAACCACATATAGAAATTAATTTGCAATGGCTTGTGAATCTAAATGTGAAAGATAAACAATAATGCTTCTAGGAGAAAATGTAGACTATTTTTATGACTTTGAGATCAAAAAAGTTATTAGAAGGACACAAAAATGTGCTAACCATCAAAGGAAAAGTTAGTAAATTGGACTTATTAAAATCAAGAACCTTTGATCTTCAAAGGATGCCATAAGAGGCTACTACTCAGCAATGAAAAGAAATGAACTATCGACAAAGAACACAACATGGATGAATCTCAAATTAATTATACTGAGTGAAAGAAGCCAAACAAAGCATACGTGCTATATGATTTAATTTCTGTAAGACTTTAGAAAATGTGAATAGCAATCATAGTGATAAGAAGCAGATCGGGGCCGGCCAAGTGGCGCATTGGTTAAGAGCTGGCTTGGGACACCAGCTCTGAGCAGCAGGGCCCCAGTTCGGATCCCACATGGGGGCCAGTGACACTGCCCTCTACAGCTAAGATGGTGAACAACAGCTCGACCTGGAGCTGGGCTGCTGTGAGCCACTGGCATCGGCGGCGTAGGCTGCAGCCCCTGCTGCAGTGGGCTGCCATAAGCTACTGTGTGTGACCGGCAGCCAGTGTTAGTGGCTGGCAGGTGGTGTGAGCTGCCAAGAGCCGCCGTAAGCAGCCATCCAAAGGCCGGCGACCGATCTGCCTCACTCGGGAAGAACGCAATGATAATACCAACGTGGGCCAGTGAAGCGACATCCTCCACAACTAGACTGAAGAACAAAACAACAGCAACTTGTCTGTTTTCCTTCCCCTGATTCCCCAATGCTGTTCCCTCCCCCCAATTCCCCAATAAAACCTTAACAAAAAAACAGATCGGAGGTTGTGTAGGGATGGGGGATTGAGGAGGGGCTAGAGGGAAAGATTGCAAAAAAACATGAGGAAACTCATGTAATGGATATGTTTACTATTTTGTGATGATTATTTTACAGTTATATGTCCAAACTTATCAAGCCTTACACTTGCAATATATTTGTCAGTTACACCTCAAAGGCTGTTTTTAATGTGGAAATAAACAAAGACCATCCAAATGAGAACGGCTATTTATTTACAGCTTATGGCAGAGACTTGAAGGCAGGGAGACCAGTGAGAAACTTTATAGTAGAAAAAAGGGAAGGCTTCAGGTATGTTCTGATTTGGGGCTGTTGGCATGGGAAAGCTGCAGGTGGCCTAGCTACAAGTGGGGCATCCTACGGAACTGGTTAGGAGTACATATTTGATTTTCTCTGGTTGGTCCTACGTTGGAAACAGGCACAAAAAATTAAGGATGCTGTCGGTTATTAATTATTTTGGTGCCAGTTTTTACAAAGGTTATTGTTTGACTTCCTGGACTAGTTGATAGAGATAGTCTGACTTCCCTGACTGGTTACTGTAGATAGTAGGCTGACTTCTTGCACTAGTTAGTAGAGATAATTAGGTTGGTTTCCTGGGCTGGTTCCTACAGGTTGTGGGTCAGAGTTTTATTTTTATAAATGTAGCCTGGCCATTGTCCATTCATATATTCAGACTCTCATGAAAAGAAATGGAGTCCGTAAGAAAGGCAAACCACAGACCAGGAGAAGATATTTGCAGTACATATCCAACAAAGTGTTTATATTTGCTATGTATATATATATTTTTATTTTTTAAAGATTTTTATTGGGGAATCAGGGAAGGAGAACAGACAAGTTGCTGTCCTTTTGTTCTTCAGTCTAGTTGTCGAGGACATCGCTTCATTGACCCATGTTGGTATTATCATTGCACTCTTCCCGGCTGAGGCAGATCAGTCGCTGGCCACTGGACGGCTGCTCACGGTGGCTCTTGGCAGCTCACGCTGGCTGCCAGCTACTCACTGTAGCTTTACGGCAGCCCACTGCAGCTTCACTGCAGCCTACACTGTTGCCAGCGACTCATGGCAGCCCAGCTCCAGGTCGAGCTGTTGTTCATCATCTTAGCTGTACAGGGCAGCATCGCTGGTCCATGTGGGATCCGAACCAGGACCCTGGTGCTCAGAGCTGGCGTCCAAGCCAGCTCTTAACCAATGCACCACTCGGCCGGCCTACTACATGTATTTTTAAAACTCCTACAATTCAGTAAGAAAAAGACAACTTAATTTTTTAAATGGACAAAAGGCTTGAACTAGCACTTCACAAAAGAGGATATCCAAATAGCTAATAAACACATAAAAAGGTGCTAGCAAGGGGAAATGCAGTCATCATTTAATCATTAATTTAATCATTAACTGTTTAATGCAAATTAAGTGAGATACTACCTCATCCCTATCAGAATGGCTAAAATGAAAGAATTAGCAGGCCCAAGTGGTGGTGTGGATGTGGAGCAGCTGGAACTTGCATACCCTACTGGTGGGAGCGTACGAGAATATTGGTACAGATTCTGGGAAAACCGATTGACAGTGTCTATTAAAGCTAAACATATGTATACTCTATCACCCAACATTAACACCCATGGCTTTATGTCTGACAGCAGTGAGTTTTTATATCCACCAAAAGACTCATGCAAGAATATAACAGCTAAAAACAGGCGACAACCCAAATGTTTATCAACAATAGAATTTATAAATAGATTGTAGTATTTTGATACAATGGAATGCTACATAGCGATGAAAATGATTAAACTGCTACATGTCACATTATAAATGAATCTCACATACATAATGTTGAATAGAAGAAGCTACACACAAAAGAGTTAATACTACTTGATTCCATTTATAAGAAACTCAAAACAGACAAAACTAATCTATGATATAGAGGTCAGAATAATGGTTACTTTTCAGTGGGTTTCTTGACTGGGATTATTGGAAATGTTCTGTAACTTGATCTGTATTGTGGTTATAAGGGTGTATAGGTATAAAAATATTTATTGAGCTGTATACCTAAGATCTGTGCATTTCACTGCATGTATGTTATATACCTCAATAAAGAACGGGTTGGGTTTTTTTATATTTGTACTCATTCTTTCCTGTTTGAACGCTCTCCTTTGATGTACAGCTTTCCTTAAAACTAGCTCTCTCTCTAGTTTTTGGTTAACCAAAACCCTGTTAAACTTAAATCCTGTCAGCGTTCCTTTAGATTATCTCCCATCCATACTATTTCCAAATCGTGTCTGTACTAGAGTTTTAGCCTTAACCACAAGCCTGAATTATTGCCAAGGACCTAATTGGTTTCCCTGCTTTTCATACTGAAAACTATTCTGCAGTGTGCCAGCAAAGCTATCTTTCTAAAGCACCATTCAGATGATATTAGCACTTTGTGTTACTTCCTCTCCTCAAAAGCCTTGAGGGGGTGGCCATTTCTGGCATACTAGATGCAAATCAGGCACTAGCTCTGCTTTCAAGACTCGCGTGGTCTGGCCCCAACCGGCCATTCTCCTACCCCATCCATATACAGTCCTTTGGAAAATTGGATTACTTAATAGTTCCAAACTCATTTGGCTCTGTTGTTCATGCTCCTCTCTCAATAAATACTTCCTTCTTCATAGCAGCCTCATTTCAAACCATTTCAACCTGGGAGGGGGTGGGTTATGATGTGCTTCATGAAATCCACGAACCCCCTGAAATTATATCCAAACATTTCTATATATGTGCATTTTTCGGAAAAAGGGGCTTGTCTTGCCATTAGATTCTTCAAAAGCGGTTCATAACCCCCTCAAAGTTATACTGATTTAGTGGCCTTTTGAAGGAATGTAAATTAACTCATTTTATGTTTTAACAAAGTTTTTGGTTTATTAAAACTTAGTTCTCAATATGTTGGGTAATACAACATTTTTTTGAATAAATAAGTTATATTTAAAGCTCTAAGTTTCAGATTCAGCTAAAATGGTGGCTTGTCCTATTCATTTTTTAGGTCTCCAAATTTAGCTCCTTGTGTGGAGTTTATTTTCCTCAAAAGGTAGTACCATAATATTTTTCACTTTGGTATCTTTAGGTAGGGGAGGAGGTTTTTCCCCCCCTCCTATGTGACTATTCATACAGCTAGTAGACAGTACCTTCTCTGTGTGCTCTAATCTAGCAATCCCTTTTAAAAGATATTATTCAGCTTTTTTCCCCCTTTTTTTCCCTCTTTTAGATTCCTGTAGGCAATGGAAACTGATCTGAATTCCCAGGACAGAAAGGACCTGGACAAGTTCATTAAATTTTTTGCCCTCAAGGTAATATATTCATTCTCTTGAGCCTAGAGCTGTTAGAAATAACTTCCGTGCTTCTCCCTTTTTGGAAATATAGCATAACAGCTTGTAGCTTGCCCATTTTAAGGAATACTTCTGTCTGTTGTAAACCAAACTGTGAAGTTTGGGGGTGGTACTGGGGGTGTAACTAAAAAGTAGCTTCCAATTTTCCACAGCTACTTGTTCAAAAATTTTTTTGCAAGGCTGTTTGCAGAAATGTCAAACTATCACGCCAGGTTATTGGCACAGTGTGTTCCCTTGGGGCGGGAACAAAGACTGTGGACTGGAACGGACAGCATTTCGGGCATCTTTCCCCAAGCATCAACTAACTCTGAAATGTCTCACTTTTCATTTATTGTTCCATTCTGGGTGAAGAGGGATTCAAACTGAATTTCGAATGCTTTAGAAGTTATATTTTCCTTATCTGAAAGTCGTTTCTACCTCTATCACTCCTTCTCAATCCATGCAGTAGATTCTGGTTGTAAAATTAGTTGGAAGACTTCTGCCATATGGGCCAAAAGATATGAATAATTATGGAATCCTTGGTTTAAATCTACTATGATTACATAAGTGTATGACAATGAATATTTAAACCTACGGTTGGACTTGTTTCTTTATGAAAAGTTGGAGCCACTATGTGCGGCTTACTTTCTGCCATGTTAAAATATTACAGATTCCAGGCCCCCAAACTGTAATTCCTCTAATTGGTTGACACTGTGTCCTCAGGAATATTTACAGTGTTCTTTTTGTGTAGTGGTTTTTCTTTTTTTCCTATCTTTTTTTGAATGTTTTAATTTCTTAAAGCATCGTTAGGATCATTGGCATCTTTTAAATTCTGCATTTGGAGGTTTTAATCCTGATTGGGAGCCAAATCAATTTAAGACTTTTCATCTTTGATTTTTTTTGTTTGTTTGCTTTTTTTAGACTGTTCAAGTGATTGTCCAGGCTCGACTTGGTGAAAAGATTTGTACTCGTTCATCTTCATCCCCAACGGGTTCAGACTGGGTAAAATTCCTATTCTTTGCTAAGGGGTATATTGTGGTGTTTGTTACAAGGAATCACAGTGCAGTAATAGGAATGCCATTTATAGTATTACTAAATCATAACAAAGTATCTAATTCCATTTGGTCCATTCACTTGGAAAGGATGTTCTTCATCAAATGTTAGTCCTAGGCTTATTTGGTTCTTGGCTTTCTGCTGTAATAGGTGAAAAGCTTAGTTTTTAGAAAACAAAAATGTCTTTTTACCTAATCTTTGCAATAGGTCATTAGCATTTTCAACCTGAGTTTTGGGGCTTTGATGCAAAATATCTCTTATGGGGAAAGAAGAAGTGAATAAATGTCCTTAATTAGTCAAAGCAATGCCTGCATTACCCAACATACAGTCTGACTACTTTATGTTCCCATAATGTTCCATGTGCGTTTTTTACACAAAGTCCCTTTTGTTTTCTAGTTCAATTTAGCAATCAAAGACATCCCAGAGGTTACACATGAAGCAAAGAAAGCGCTGGCAGGGCAGCTGCCTGCCGTCGGGAGATCTATGTGTGTGGAGATCTCCCTCAAGACTTCTGAGGTGAGGCTATAGCCAGGATGCTGTTTTAACTTGGCACTCAAAGCTCTTTACACCCTGGTTCCAACTCAGCCCTACTCCTGCCTCTTCCCTCTCTGAACTTCTTGTCATTCTCTGAGGAGGTCATGGTTTTTGTACTTATTTGTCCAGCTACTTGGAAGGAGCTCTTCACCCTCATCTGCATATATACCTACATGTAACACCCTTCAAGACTCACATACTCTAGAAAATCTCCCCCTTCTAGAGGGAGGGCTAACTATTTTCTTTAGATTTTCCATGTGCTTTGTTTATATTTGTTTCTAGGGTATAACTTCCTGTATTGTGATTTTAAAAACATTTTTTGTGCTCACCTTATCCATGTTAGGATTGAGGCATGTATTGTTACTTGTATGTTTATTAATCTATTTCCACTATGAGACTGTGAGGCTGCATGGTATAATGAAAGGCAGATGGAGCCTGGAGCTTCACAGATACAAGTTCAAGTTCAGGTCCCAGCTGAGTGACTTTGGCCAAATTACTTAATCCCACCCTTACCAACACCACCAAACTAACATGACACTTCACAGTCTTGCAGGGCTGCAATATTTTCATATGTAATCCTTATTTGTAAAGCGGCTAACAATCACATATAGTAGGCGATCATTACATGTTTCTGTTCATACTTAACACTGTTATTTTGGAGGTCAGCAGCTACGCCACATCTTAATTATCTTTGTAGTTCTTCAAATTCTTTTTGAAATGAGGCAGGATGCAAATAATCATCTCTGTGCCTGACACAGTGCCTGGGATGGCACTTAGTAGGTTTTCACTGAATTTTGTTGAATGAATACTGTCACTGCTTATTCCATGGAAACTATAGCATCAAATAAAACAAAACTTCCTATTCTTCTTTATTGAATTACCAGTTTATACTCTATATTATTTTCCTTAGTGATCTATAGGGAGCCTAAAAGGAATCCTAGAACTCTTTCCTCTCCCAGGTATCTGTGAAATCTGACTATTAACTGTTGCGCTTGCCCTGGAGAAACCACACCAACTTCTCTGGGATACTTCCCTCTTGTCCACTCATTCCTTGATTTTTTTTTGGGGGGGGGGAATTCAAACTTCATGTCATTCAGAAATGACAGTATATATAATGAGAATGCTATATATGAAGGATACATATTTAAATTTTATTTAGAACAAGTAAAGTTCTGTATTCCACAAACTAACCCCAGCTTACTCCCAAACCTAAAAGAATAGCCCTGTTCAACTGATTAATAAAAAGGTTACTTGTGTTCAAAGGTATGTGACTATTCTCACTAAGTGACACATTGGAGTGTTACAGGGTTGGGGATTCTGGCCTTAGTCTTTTCTTTTTCTTTCCCACCCACTAGACTAAGTCTGTTCAGAGTAACACAGAGAAAGACTGAATAGTTTGGCTGAAGACATCATACAGCTAAAAAATTTTTTAAGTAAGGAGCTTGTTAAGGTATTCTTTTTTTTTTTTTTAAGCTGAGCCATCCTGCCACCTGTTGGCAGCTCAGCGGCTGCTCAGCTCAGGCTGGGAATCAAACCGCTGTTGCTCAGAGCTCAAACTCTTGAGCGAGCTCTTAACCAACTGAGCCACTCAGCCGGCCCTAAGGTATTCTTAAATTGTGGGTGTCACCTAAAAATACCCCTGTAGAATTGGAGGGAAGGGCTCTCTCCATCATTGGAAGTGTCGGCCTTTCTAAAAAGTAATTTGGATATACATAGCAAAAGTCTTTGAAGCATCATGAATACTCTTGGATCTAATAATTCTAATTTGGAAATTTGCCTTAAGATACATGCAAAGTTTTAGTCTCAAGGCTGTTTATCACAATGTTGTTTGTAGTAGTGAAAAATTAGAAATAACCTGCATGTCCAAGCATAGGGGTGCTGATTGGATAAAATGATGGCCATGTAGTAAAATACTATGCAACCATTAAAAATATTGCAAAATTTTAAATATAAGGAAAATTCCATGTTGTATTTATTAATTAAAAAAAAAACTTAGTGATGAAAATAGTATTGATAGTATAATCTCACTTTTATTTAGAAAAGTGGATGATTGGTTTATAAATTGATACTTTTCTGCTTATTTATACTTTCTAATATATTTTATTAGAATGAGTGTATAGTCATTCTAATGACTGTATAGTGCTTTGTAATAAGAACAAAGAAAATAAAAAACCCTGAAATATCTTTCATTTGTACCATCTACAGGGAGATTCCATGGAGCTAGAAATTTGGTGTCTTGAAATGAATGAAAAGTAAGTGCTCTGTCTTAGGATCCTTGGTTGTGGTAGCTGAGGATAAAGCAGATGACATAGTGTGAAAAGCAGGGCTTTGTTTTCGGTCATGGAGAGTGTTCTGACCACTTAACAAAACCAAGAGGTCTTTGCTACAATTTGCTTCATGCTTGGCTTCCAGCCGAGGCACAGAGATGACCTTCAGAGGGAGTGTCGGTTCAGAGAGACTCAGATGCCACAGGGAAAGGAGCAGAGAGAAAGCTGAAAAGGGTTTGTTGTTTTCCCACAGTACAGATAGTTCTCTGATTAAACCCTTTGGGAACTCTTGTAACATGACTACTCTATTTTCTCTCTTTTCTGTGTGGCAGACATCCAATAAGATTTCCCCTCACTATTCCTTTTTACACACTGTGTTGGTCATGGATTCGAAATGCATGTTATTTCGCCTCCATTTTCTTCTTTCAAGGCAGATTAGCTTACTTCCTGCCTAAGTTTCAGTTTTCAAGAAGAGCATACATATAGAAAAATTGAGGAAATAGCAACTTATCAAAAGAAAAATTTTAGTAATAAGTATATATAGTGTGGGCATTTTTTAAAAAATAGACAGCAATTTGCCAGTCCAAAATTCTAGTACCAAACAGACTTTCCTTCAGATTTCTTGTATAGAAGTAGACAGCTCATAAGATAATACATTGAAATTATGTGTGCACCTTCAGTAATATAATTGCAACGTTGAATTACTGTTTTTAAGTGTGTTACTTTATTTCTTAGATAACTGCTTCAAAGCTAGAAAATATATTGGGTGCCTTTTAGTGCCTATCTCCCTGTGCGTTAGAATTTATGAATAATGCTAATAAATTAATATTAGTGACTAGATGGAAAATAACTAATATCTCTATATCTATTGCATTTCCGTTCTTTGTTAGGCATTAGTTGAATAGGAGAATGCTGATAGTGTCTGTGTGCTCCGCAGGTGTGATAAAGAAATCAAAGTTTCCTACACGGTGTACAACAGACTGTCGCTGCTGCTGAAGTCTCTCCTTGCTATAACTAGGGTGACACCAGCTTACAGACTCTCCAGAAAACAAGGGCATGAATATGTCATATTGTACAGGTAAACAGTATGGCTGCTCACCTGCTTGATGTACTCGTTAGCCTCGTCGCTTTGCATAGTGTCTAACTGTCATTCAGATGTTCTTCATGCACCCTGTGATTAATTTTTGGACAGATGGTTGGATAGTTGATGCTTATAGCTTCACTGTGATTATCTGTCCATCCTCCCTTGTGAACCTCAGCTTTCCAAAGCTACCAAGTTCTTTGTCCTTTTGTTTGTGCACAGTCATGATTCCTATGGAATGGATTTTGAGGTCCTCCTGATACACATCTCAAAGCTGAAAAAGGAGCTTAAGACTAAAAAAAATAGGCTCTCCTAGGAAGATTCCACAGCCTTCTATATTCCAGAGTTAATTAAAACTTTTTATCTAACAAACTGCTAATTCAATTTGTTTTTAGTCGTCATTTGTGGATATGAAGAACTGCCAGTATTTATCTTGGCATATTTTACTTCAACACATATTTATTGAGTGCCTATTTAAAGTAAGCATTGTCCTAGGCCCAAGGAAGAACTGTACAGAGGCCCTGCCCTTTGAGTGTTTCTAATCTAATGGGAGGAACAGTTTGGTACATGCATAATTATAATAAAAAGCAGGATTTGAAAACTTCACAGCAGTATCAGGGAAAAAGTACTGGGAAAACACAGGAAGGGAAAGTTTGTTCTGGGTGGGAGAAACCAGACAGGCTTCATGGAAGGAGTGGCTTTTGAGATAGACCTTGAGGGCTGGCCGAGTGGCTCAGTTGGTTAAGAGCTCGCTCAAGAGTGTGAGCTCAGAGTAACAGGGGTTCCAGTCCCAGCCCCAGCCCGAGCTGAGCTGCCAACAGGTGGCAGGATGGCTCAGCTAAAAAAAAAAAAAGACCTTGAGGCTGAGAATTTTAGCGGTAGAATTGAGAGAGAAAGATCATTCCGGTGGGGAGTACAACAGATGGCAAGGCATAGACGTGGAGGCAGGGTAATGAGCTGTACTCAAGTGCCCAGTGGGTCAGGGTGGTGGTATAGAGAGTACATAGGGAATTGTGAGAGCAGAGCATGGAAAGCTAGACCTTAAATCATTCAAGACTCTTTTCTTTCTTACTAGTCATGAGCCATTGGTTTTAGCCTTTGGTTTACCTGTATAGAGCTGATTTTGAGAAGTTAGTATAGCAGGATGGAAGGACTAAGGATTAGAGACTTAACAAGTTCTGTTGAAACAATCTAGTTACTGAGAATAATCAAGTTATTCTTTAACTTTCTTAGCAGTAACCTAGCAACCCTACCCATGTTTATTTTTCCAAGTTTTTAATACATTTTTGCAGTCTTCTCTGTAGCCTTCCTAGGTTTCACATTCAGTATTCCATTTGAAGACTACTAGACTTTTATTCAGATGTACAGAAAGATTCCTTTCTAACTCTTACCTCTCATTGACCTATGCTAAGTCCCCTTCAGTTGGTTTTTTTAATAAGTAGCCCTACCACACTGCTAGGCATTAACTTAGTTAACTGGGACCCTGTTCCTTTTTTGTTTTTTTGTTTTGTTTTTACCCTAGTCCTTTTCATACCAGTGTTTAAAGTCTTTCTTGCTTCTGTATCTCTGGAGTAACACAGTATTTATTACTCACTGTGTGTTTATCATTTAGGAGTGCTTTTAGATGCAAATAACTATGGTTTAAACCATAGAAAAGTGGGTGATCCCAGAGGTAGATGTGGCTCCTTTTTTTTTTTCTTTTATGCTATTGTTAACAGGTAACACTACAGCCTCATACCATTAAAGAATAGCCTTGTCTTTTTTTTAGCTATATTATTTTTTTCCTTGATCCTGTAGATTTGATCATGTCACTGGAGAATTATGTTGCTATAAAAACTCATTCTGAATTTGCCATTCATCAAGACTGAATTAATGTTTTATTTTCTACTCTCTGTGAAGAAAACTTGTGCTTAGCACCCGAATAGCATAAAGAGTATAGCCAAGGAAAAGTTTAGTATGATTAGGTTATTTTAAGTACTGTACCAACATTCAGATTATAGTGAGCTTTTGATTAGAAGGTGTCTAGCAAAATCTATTTTGGCAACACTTCATTAACATCATTTCTGTATTACTTTATGGCAGGAGTCAGCACACTGGCCAGCAGACCATCTGCTTGTTTTTATAGTTATTTTAGAACATAACCATTCCATTAGTTTATGTATTATCATTGGCTACTTTTGCAAGACAATAACACAAGATACGCAGTTGCCACAGATCATATGACCCGCAAGCCTAAAATATTTACTATTTAATCCTTTTAACTCCTAGTAAGCTCGCTAACTCCTGCTTTATAGTGCCCGTCACTTCGTGCATGTATTTCAGATATTTATATACATTTCTTTTGTCCCAAACCAGGCTATAATCTGTGAGACCTGGGATCCTGATTTATCCTGACTCTCATCCCTAACTTATCCTTATCTCAACCCTAACACCTAACCATAAGGCCTTGTATATTGTTGGAGTTCAGCTTTTATTGAACAAACACATGTATATGTTTAATTCTTAACAATCTTACTTGAAAAAATATAAAAATATATTTTAACTGTTTTGTAATTCAGATTTTTAGCTAATATAGACTGGCCTTCTGAGGGAGACTCGTGGAAAGGCTCCACTATGTTTATATTTTTATATTTTCTGAAGAGTCTTACCTAATTATTCTACGGTATAAAAGATGTTCTAGTTTCTTAACCAATTTACTTTGGAATGACTTGTGACAAACAGAGAGCTTCCCTTAATTGAAGACCACTCTTCAAAATCTAGTGCATTCTGTTGCATATTTGAAAATTGCCAAGAGAGTAGATCTTTTTTTTTTTTGTTTTAAAGATTTTATTGGGGAATTGGGGGAGGGAACAGCATTGGGGAATTGGGGGAAGGGGAACAGACAAGTTGCGGTCCTTTTGTTCTTCAGTCTAGTTGTGGAGGACGTTGCTTCACTGGCCCGTGTTGGTATTATCATTGTGCTCTTCCCGGGTGAGGCAGATCGGTCACTGGCTCATGGCAGCTCACGCTGACTGCCAGCCACTCACGGTAGCTTACAGCAGCCCACTGCAGCCCCGCTGCAGCCTACGCCATTTCCGGCGACTCATGGCAGCCCAGCTCCAGGTCGAGCTGTTGTTCACCATCTTAGCTGTAGAGGGCACAGTGTCACTGGCCCATGTGGGATCCAAACCACAGCCCTGCTGCTCAGAGCTTGCACTTCCAAACCAATTCTTAACCAACGAGCTACTTGGCCAGCCCAAGAGAGTGGATCTTAAAATTTTTCATTACAAGAAAAAAAATTCTTTAACTCTTTATGGCAATAGATGTTAACTACACTTATTGTGGTAATCACGTTGCAATACATACAAATAACGAATCATTATGTTGTACGCCTGAAACTAATGTTGTATGTCAATTATACTTCAATTAAAAGAAAACTAGTACTTTCTAATAGTAGTCCCAGATCTATTTGCCAATTTTATTTAAATATTCTTTATTTCCTGGTGGGTATACTTTAGAAACACATTGCAGGAGTGGGAAGAAGAAACTTAAATAGCAGTTTCCACTTATTTTCCTCATTTTCTAACCAGTCCTCTCCATATATATTCCCTTGCCTGCAGCTTAATTGAAGTAATATCATTATTGAAGTAGTACCATTATTGCTTTGTTAGGAGAGGTGTTCTTGCAGATAAGAAAAGAAGGCTTTGTTTTGTTTATTTCGTTTCTAGGTGTTTTGGCTATAAAGGCCTTTACAATAAAGAGTCAGGTAACATTTCCTTTTCTTTCTTCCCTACAGGATCTATTTTGGGGAAGTTCAGCTGAATGGTTTAGGAGAAGGTATGTATCAAGGTTGAAAAACATTTATAATGTTAAGCACTCTCCTGACTTCAGAGATGGGCTTGGGTACAGCCTGTAATAATAACATGCAACTTGTGATTTTAATACGTATGATATGAGTAAGGAAAAGACAGGTAGACAGTCCAAAGAGATGCCAGGGAACAACTGAATAATTTCCCCGAAATTCCAGTATGACTCTTTATACAATTGTTTGTTTTCTAATTTCGTACAAAATTAGGAAACATTAAATGTCTCTGATGAGCATCAGTTTTGAAAAATTGGAAAGGAAACCAAGAAAGCCAGGAAGTTTGGTTGGAAGTATCATCTGCAAGACCCTGGCTTTTTCCCATACATTTAAGTTGTTTGTGTGACAAACTCCTAGTGCCCCTGTGCTGTCTCATTGGGCATGTGACACATCTGGGCAGGGTTGGTTAGGACTTGCTTAAGCTTTAGGATTAACAATTGTTTTACCTCTTTGAAGGTAATTTTATTTGGAAATAGAATGCTGTTTCCCCTGATAAAATTAGGTCAACATAGAATTAATTGAAAGAAAAAAATAGCACATGGGTGCACACACAAAATTGAAACTGCTGCATTCAGGGTGCTAGGCAGATAATGCCAGAGATTTTATAGGCTGAATGATTTAAGGGAAGACAGACTGGGGACAGTGTTGGTATTCTCTGAAAAAAGAGCTAATTATTTATCTCTTCTAGGTTTCCAGACAGTTCGTGTTGGGACAGTGGGTACCCCTGTGGGCACCATCACTCTTTCTTGTGCCTACAGAATTAACTTGGCATTCATGTCCACCAGGTGAGGAAAGAGCATTGGAATCCAAAATAACTCTTCCAAGGATAATAAAGCTTTTTTCGCCCAAGCTCCATGGCTAAGCTTACAGTTCAGCTTTGCCATTGCTGAAATCAGTTCCCTTCTGAAGAATAAAATCGAGAGCGAGCCCAGTTTCCAGATGGAGAATCTGAATGTCCCAGAGCCAACAATGTAGAGATGGTGGTTTATAGTTCGGAATGCAATAGTTAAGGCTCTGGTGGTTCCTGCTGCTAGATATTAGGTGAGGGGTCCTCTGAGGACTTCAGGGGGCGCTGGCAAGGCATGCTAACAAATATTGCAATCTGCTTATTGCATTACAGGCAATTTGAGAGGACCCCACCTATCATGGGGATTATCATTGATCACTTTGTGGACCGTCCCTATCCCAGCTCCTCGCCCATGCACCCCTGTAATTACAGGTGAGGAATGTGAAAGGCACTTTCCCAAATTGCAGCTAGGCAGAAGCATCCATCTTGCAGAGGTACATAGAGCACCTTCATCAGCACTCACTGATGGGCAGGAGGTAGTGATGGAGGAGACCCCACAAGAAGAGAATACAGTGGCTAGCTTCCCTTCTTGCTGCTGCCTGTAAGGTATACCAACACCTGGGGTACACAGAATGTCTCAGAAAATTCTTGGAATTTGATTTTATTTTACTTAGAGGCTACAAGAGTGACAGTAATTTATGGCATGCCCTTTGTAAATTACATGGTTTTCAGGTTGCCATTGGCACAATTAATTTATACATCAGAATCAAACATCTCCAAGCCTTGGTCCCAGAAAACAGTATTCTCTAGAGCAGTGGTTCTCAACCTTTCACAGGAGTCGCCTAAGACCATCGGAAAACACATATTTTCGATGGTCTTAGGAACCGAGACACCGCTCCTCTATCCGTCTCCAGGCCCACATGCAGATACGCCCACATACGAGTACCTGGTGACCCCTGTGAACAGGTCGTTCGACCCCCAAAGGGGTTGAGAACCACTGCTCTAGAGCTTGGGGTAGCTGTGTGTCAGGAAGGACTTGTGGAGTTGGATAGGTTTGTCTCTGCAGTCTAGACTTTTGTTTCACTGCACTCTGTGGCTGACAGTTCTTTGGACTTAACACTGACCAGGCTTAGAAAACACTCTCAAATCATATGTCAGGTAAGATGTTGGGGTTTAAACAAAAAGCCATTTTCAACCTCTAGATGCTGCTCTCTGGAAATGTTTGAAATTATGAGGGACTCAGCATAGCTCTCTTGTGGTGAAGAACTCTGCCTGAAACAGTTGTCACAACTTGCATCCTTATCTAACCTCCCTGTTTTCCTTTCTAGAATTGACTGCCATCGCCATAAAAACTCATGATTTCTTTTCCCCTCACTATAGAACCACTGGTGAGGACACTGGAGTAACATATCCTTCTGTGGAAGATTCTCAAGAAGTGTGTACCACCTCTTTTTCCACCTCCCCTCCGTCCCAGGTAGGGGGAAGTGGGTTCTGGGGTGGTGGTAGTTATTTGGTACACACATGGGCCTTGTGAAGTGGTGTCAAAATTTATAGTTTCTTTTGGTAGTGGTGGTGATTGTTCTGAGGGGAGTTCTTTTGAGGGCTGAAGGAGAACCTTCTTATCCAGCAGGTAATATTGCAATGTTTCTAGTGTAACCATTCTTAACCCACAAGATTACACGTCACCTTTACCTTGCTTGGGACATCTTAAAATTCCCTAGAAAATCAGTCAGAGAATTGCATGTGCATTCTCATACCAGAGAGCTACTCTAACCTATACTTGTTGATTTGGTGGCTACTTCTTGTTTGAAGTGGTAAATATGGTTCCTAATAAAAGAAGAAGCGCAAAAGGAGCCAATAATTGTTTAGCATAAAATGCCAGTAAGAAACCAACAGTGCAGTTTTTCTTAATAGTTGACACCGATTTCTGCCTATCTGCATTCTCTATCTGGACATCTTTAACCATTAACTTTTCCACTTGAGTCCGTCTTCGGTGTCGAACTGAATTTCATTAAAACATAGGCTCCAAGCAATGTTCTCAGCTTCCCAAGAGGAAGCGCTTGTGGCCTTGTTGTATAATGTACATGGTACTGAGACTGCTTCAGCTAAGGAATCATTTTGGCCAGCTGACTGGATTTCGGGGCGCATTTCTCCCCTTCCACCCTGAGTCATTCAGCTTCTGCCTCATTGCCTGCGGATCCCTGCTGTACCTGCCCATCGTCTCTGCTACTCCCTCCTCTTTGACTTTCACTTGAGACAGTTTCTTCTAGACCGATTCAGTTCTGCTTTCCTTTAAATTAACCCCAGATTATCCATTTTCACCATCTTATTTTGGGGACCTAGCAAATTAATTAGCTATCCACAAGTTTTTATTTCCTATGTTTTTTAAATTAAGAAAGAATTTAAATTTATTCCAGCCTGGGTTGTTAGGAGATACTGGATTAAAATTATGGTTCTGTTTCAAGAGCAGAATTTAGGCACAAAAGCAAACAATGTGTATGGAGGACATTACAAAATGGATGGATCACTATTATTTCTGTTGTCCCAATTTAGTTAAAGAGGTTTTTGTTGTAAAGTCACCTAGATGGTTTGCTTTGAGGGTGTGGGGCGTGTTCCCCTCCCCCCACTAATATACGTACTCATGAGCATTGCCACTGCCCTGAGAAGGGTAGCTTTTGGGACACTTACTGACAGAACAATACTGACCCCAAAAAGTCGGGAAAGCCCACTTTCTTAATAGTGGGAGCATATGAGTGAGAGCAAATTAATTTTTAAATGGTCAAAATGTGAATATGTCAAGTTTAATGTTCATTAAACAGTTTTGTTTTACAAGTAATAAATTCATGAACAATAAGGATGTGACTTGGGAGATAAAAGGGAAGGTGCAGCTGGGCCTTAACAAGTCTATTTGTCTCTTTCGCTGATACAGTGGAAATTTGACCCAACTCCAAAAGTAAAGGGAAGCTAAGTCATTTCTGCACCTGATGTTTGCATAAAAGTTTGCCAGCCTGTGTAAAGAGAGCCTATCTTTTTCATGGTGTCAGATGCCTGCTGTGTCTTGTCACAGTTTAAAAGTAGATCACATCAAGATCTTATCGAGCACCCAGAGGGTGAGCCCTGCTCCTACCCCTGGGCACCTCTAATCAAAGCTGCTACAGTTTGGTGCAGAAATACTCATTTTGAACAGAGAGAGAAAATCATTTGCCATCAGGTCATCTCATTCCTGTAAAAACTGAAATAGTTTCTTTGGTTTTACCTAGGGAATTGCATAATTGTTAAACAACTTCTATTTGAGCTTTTGCTAGATTCCAGTAAATATATGTTAATGTGATGTTTATTTTGCCAACACAATAAGGATGTTGTGTCATTTGGGCACAGAGTTGAGTCAACCAATAGTTGTGACCCTGAACCTGCTACTGTGACTTAAGGTCCTACCTCCAATTCTAAGCATTAATCAGCCAATTGGTGAGACTTATTAAAGATGGAACAGTAAGACCCAAAATCATCATCATGCCCATACTTGGCTTTGAAGTCATAGGAGTTTTGAAAGTGCCCCAGCTTTTACTCCATCAAGTCCTCCTACACCATTAGAGACCGTAAGAACACACATACACACACACACGCACACGCACACTCAGCCCTAAACCTATGTCTGTACACACCCACTCATCTTCCCTGGGATGACAGTGTGCAGCCTGGCACCTGAGTATTTTAAAGTCCAGCCAATAAATGTCAGCTGTCTAAACCTGTCCCTGAAGATCCTGGGTCCCCAGGAAAAGGCCTTCACTCTAACATTTTAATCTCCACATCCCCATTCACACCTGTGCACACCTGTGCCTGCTCCCAGGCCCTTCCTATTGGAAGTCGTTCTCTAATGTCTTCCCATCCTCTTGACTAAAGACAGACTAATGCCTGGTTAAGGTTTCCCTGTTTTGCCAAGTCATTCAAGCTTGACTCAGCTTTGTTTCCCAGCTGCTCCTCAGGGAGACACGCATGCGATGGAGCGCCCTGGGATAAACACCTCTGCAGACCCTGCCAAGTTGTCATATTGGGAAAGCAGCCATGCAGCTTTCTGCCCGCGGCATGCCTGACTTCCATTGTGCATTTCAGCCTCTACTGCTACTGCCCCTTGGGAGTTTTTTTCACTTCTTTCTTAAGTCCCTTTTCTTTTTTCTTGTTTCTCCTGTCTCTGTTTGTATCTGTACACAGTGTGTGTTTACTGTCACAAAGGCACATTTTCAGACCCCTACTCCTGTGGTGACGGATACCCTGAGGGTCCCCATGGCAGGACTGGCCTTTTCCCATCAAGTGAGTCCATACTGGGAAGAAGGGGATAAATCAGACAGCATCTTTATATTTAAAATTGTAAATAAAGTACAGGGTATAGCTATTTAAATGTCCCCGAGTGTTCTGTGGTTGTTTTGAGGCTTGGTAATTGATTTTTAACAGGACATAGCCATAGCAGAGCAGCCCAAAATAGGACCATTTGCCCCTCCTCCCACCACGGATGTGAAAAATACATGGAGTTATTTATATCTTATTTCCAAATAAACAATCCAAGAGTGGTATTCTTTCTTTTTCAACATAAACAGGAGCCCTCCCATACCCAGTGGTGATGGAGGGTGTGATTAGTGAAGACGATTTCTGTTTCAAAGGGACCTCAAGGACAAAGGAGAAAATAGAATGACCGGGAAAAACAGATGAGTTTGGCTCCAGGTTCTGCCCAGGCTTGTGCTCCACAGATGTGCTGGGCTGGAAGCCGAAACAGTTAGCTGAGCCCCTTTGAAAGGGGAACAAGGGATTCGTTTGAAGCCTTTGGAAGGCTGCAGATCTGGGAACCTCAGTCCCACTGCAGCCAAGTCTGTCTTTTCATCTAAAACGCAATAGCCTGGTCTCCCTTTAACCCTTCCATCAGGCCCCTGTACCGGGAGGATGTGGGCTGGGATCCATTCCGTACCTCTCTGCTGAGCTTGGTCCTTAGTCATTCTCTAGGGTTACCTATTTTTTCCTCCTCCTCTCCTCCGCCCCTCTTTGTTTTTCTCTTGCTTAGCTCTCAAGCTCTCGCCTTTCCTATCAGCCTGCTGCCCTGGGCGTTGGATCAGCTGACCTGGCTTATCCAGTAGTATTTGCTGCTGGCTTAAACACTACACACACTCACCAGGTATCTTTAAAGATGGGGAGGACCCTGGGGGTTCCTGTGCTGCCCCGCCCCCCCGCCCTTGCCCTGAGGTAGTTGAGGGGCCTTCTTGAGACACCAGTTTCATGCTAAATGTTCCAAAGCAGAGCTCCTCTATGACTTCGAAGGACTAAGGGGACTCTGAGAGAAAGGGGCCTCTTAGACTTAAGAAAGGAAAGGAGAGCTTGCCGAGTGTTTGCCCCTCTGTAGTTGTTGCCATGCATATCTAGGAACTGAGTCCCAGAGAGGATAAAAAGCCAAGGTTTCCTGCCCACTGGGTGGCAGCATTGGTGACGGAAAAGCTCGAAAGCAGATCCCATCATGTTAGGCCGAGTGTCCTCTCCTGCCAGACACTGCCACAATTCACTGTATTTTTCCATTTTTCCCCAAAGCTAATGGTTCCTGGGAAGGAAGGCGGGGTACCCCTTGCTCCCAACCAGCCTGCCCACGGCGCCCAGGCTGATCAGGAGAGATTGGCCACCTACACCCCTTCTGACGGGGCCCACTGTGCTGCCACGCCTTCCAGCAGGTGAGTTCACTCATGGCTCTGCCACTGCTCTGGCCAGCCAGGGCCCTGTCACATGTGCTTATTTGGCCTTGGTAAAGAATAGCTTTTGGCATTGGCTCAGGCCTGGCATTTGCGCCCCAAATGTGGACTCCTTTAAGTTGCAGATAAGAATCTTACATTGCAGCTGGTATGTAAGGAAACTGGCCTCGCTCTGCGAACAGCAAGCAGCAGGGGCTTGGCTCCTATCTTCATGCAGTGAAGGGGTTCCTCAGATGGTTTTCTCTTACCCCAAGATTTATTCCCTTGAAGTTGGGCTTCAGTTTACCGTAACCCTGAAGTTGGGCCACAGTGTGTCTAGGGTGGCAGTTAGGATTGATTCACTTTTTCTGCTTTGAGTCCTCATGGAGATCCTTTAGGAACCACTATTTTTCCTCATTAAAAAAATCTTTAAATCTTTGTCTCTTTTGGTCACAGAAATGATACATTCTATGAAATTCAAATTATAAAGACATCGATTAGTAGAAAGTGAAAGTTCTCATAATCCCACCCTGCAAAAATCACCACTGTTACCTCCTTTTGAAAGACAAGAGGCTCTCAGAAGGGTTAAGTAATTCGTCTAAGAGCAATTGGCTTGCCGAGTGGCCAGGCAGAAGCCCAGCTCCTTGGACTGCAAGTCCATGTTCACTCTTTCCATGACACTCAGAGTTCTCCCGTGGGAAGCTGAGGCTGTCTTGTCCTCCCTTGCCCGGAAGGCCCCAGAGATGATGATGTTGGTTGCCCTGCCACATCCTAAATGAAGAAATTCCTGGTATTTTTTTTTTTTCATTCCCACAGTGGAGTGGTGGGAGGGAAATTATTTGGGAAGATCTTTTTGCGCCAGCCATCAGGAAAAATAATTACTTTCATTCCTGACTGCCCAAGCTTCCATCCTCTTACCCCTCCCCCATTAGATACCCAAAGGAAGATCCTGTGAAGTCATTTTACACTCTGGTTTCCTGAGCCTCAACTCCTGGGGCATGTTTGGAAGTAGCTCAAGACAGAGGACCCTGTGGGGGGTTCTTAATGCAGGCAGTCTGAGCCCAGGCCTTTCCTCAGGGCCGGCGTTCCCTGCTGGCTGGAGCCCAGAGGCACTTGGAGTGCACAGTTCTCCTCCCCATTTTGAGCCCCTGTTTTGCACCAGAGGACCTTTCCTGTCTACTGCTACCTCAGGGCTGTGACTGCTGGTCTGGCAGCCACAATATGGGCCCGTGTTTCTGCTGCTTGGAGCTCTCCTGTCATCCAGGAGTCAGCATCAGTCTGGAGGGCTGGAGAAGGGAAGGCCGTAGGGGCAGCCAGACTGAATGTGTCATTACCAGACCTTGCTAGACTGAGGGATGATTGGCAGTGAGGAGAGGGGGGCATGGTACAGAGCACAGCGGACCTCATCCCAGGTGACTTGTCAGGGTGGAGAAAGCTCTGGCCAGGGTCAAACTTGGGACCCCTGTCTTAGAGTAATGGCCATGTCCCTTGTGAGGTAAGGCTTAAATTTAGCATCGTATTGTAAACCATACAGTCTTACTGGTATTTTTAGCTAACAACAAAACAAAAGTAAGATGGAGAACGGCTGAAATTTTAAGTCTGGCTCTGTAATAGATTATTGTTTAAGTTACAGTTGTTGAGAGCTGCTTGCCTACACCTATATTTGCTATATGCATGGTAACTGGTGCTTATCACTGGCGTTTCCACAATTGTAACACTAAATTTCATTCACATGTGCATAATTTTTAGTTTTTCAGGAAATGTAGCCCTCTGCTTTCAACTGAAAAGGGGAGGGTGACAGAGGCAGGAGCCAGATCACCATATTGCCATTTCCCACATGGGTGGGGAGGTGGGGGCAACTCCTGCCCTAGGCTGTGACCCTAAAATAGTAGATTTATGGGGAACTAAGGAAGCTCTGCTGTGATTTGAGAATGAGTACCAACATTACCTTTCTTCTCCAGTGAGGATACCGAAACTGTATCGAACAGCAGTGAGGGACGGGCCTCTCCCCATGATGTCTTGGAGACCATCTTCGCCCGAAAAGTGGGGGCTTTTGTCAACAAACCCATCAACCAGGTGATTTTTCTGCCACTGCCACCTGTGAGCATGTCTGAGCTCTTTGAGTGAGGCCTTACAGACGGGATCTGTACAGCCACTGACATTGCATGCAAATTGCACGTGTGTGTGTGAATTTTTGTAAAGAGGGTTAATAACCTGTGACAGCCCTCCAGAAAAAATTAAAAACTATTGTTCTGTGATCTTTTAAGCCTCCCATAGAAAAGGGAGACTAGACACCATTTAGTACCAATACAATGCACTAAAGTGTCATTGCCTCAGCCGAACTTGAAATTGGAGCTGTCTTCTCAGCTCTGCCAGTGAACAGTTGTTACTGAATTACTGTGGGTCAAGCTTCCAATGCTGAATTCCTGGGGAGCCCTGACCCATGTTTATTCTATGGGCATGTGATTGGAGGTGGAGGAGGTTGGGGACGTCTCCAGCAGTACAGGAACCTGAGGGGCGGCATGGTCAGCCTGGGGGTGTGAACGTGCTGGGCCTCCAGTCTTCTGGCAGCCTCTAAGGGAGCACATAATCTGGGCTCTAATACTTTCTCCTGCACCTCTTCAGGTGACCCTGACCAGTTTGGACATACCCTTTGCCATGTTTGCTCCCAAGAATTTAGAGCTGGAGGGTGCTGATCCCATGGTGAGTCCCCTACTGACTAAAGTTTCCAGTGAGACGGACAGACTCGTTGTCCTTCCTGGGCGAGTCGCTGTCCCTCCACAGACCATCCGCCATGCCTCTCGGCTTCTGGATTTGCAGCTCAGAATTGAGGTCCCTTCAGAAACCTCAATACTATACACAGTAACTCGCACGCAGTGCACAGACAGAACCCGCCCCAACCCACCTCTGCCTTATTCTGATCCAGGTGAACCCTCCGGATTCCCCAGAGACGGAATCTCCTCTCCAGGGCAGCCTGCACTCTGATGGCTCCAGCGGGGGCAGCAGCGGCAATACCCACGACGACTTTGTTATGATCGACCTCGTGAGTTGCTGTCACCTTCCTTGACCTTTGCAGCTTTGATGCCCCCGGGGACGTGTCTAGAGGCATCCATTGCACTTGAATAGGACTTTCTTCACGGGGTTCAGATGGGCTGGTATAGAGGGAGGAGATGGGACAGGCGGGCACCCAGCTGTGCAGTGTACGTGGGAAGCTGCCCTCACCCTGCTTGGGAGACATTTGGAGGACAATGAACAATACGGCATTTTGTGCCATGTCTTTGGTTGAAATTCATAATGCAGTTCAGCTGTAAATGGGGATTTTCCAGTTGTAGCCACGTAGACCCTATTCATGGCTGAATGGATAGCCCCATGCTAAGGAAAGGAGTTTGAAAGATGGGGACATAGCCCGAACCAGGGGAGAGGAATGTTATCACTAGGACTGGAATTCAGCTACCCGGAAGAGAAAGGTGTAAAGACTGCTCTCCGAAGGTTAGCCTGGAGGAACCTTTGCTTTGAAAATTACCGGAAGGAATGAGGGTTATTCAGAGACTATCTCCTCTGATTTTCCTCTGTGGTACAAGGTAAGCTAAACTGAGTTTGTCTTGTTTTTGAAGAAACCGGCGTTTTCTAAAGATGATATTCTTCCAATGGACTTGGGAACCTTCTATCGTGAATTTCAGAACCCCCCTCAGCTGAGCAGCCTTTCCATCGATATCGGGGCACAGTCCATGGCTGAGGACTTGGTATGAAGACCCCTCCTCTCACCCCACCTCATGCTCTGACCTCCCTTCCCCCTTTGATGGTCATTTCTGCTCCACAGACCCAGAAATTTCTTCCTGTTCCTCCCCCACTCCTACACCTCCCATCTTCCCTGTAACAGGAAAGAGACACTTTTAGAACATTATCTGCTTTAGATAACACTTGCGATTTGCATTTTGCCTGGCAGTCATTATCTTGAATTTGCTTGCACTCACTTCCTCCTTTTTTCTGCACACACTCAGCATTACTTACACACTCCTATTGTTTGGTGCCTGATGTCTTCTACTTGTTGATGCCACTAAGCCAAACTGCTCCAGCAGCTCTTGCGTTCAGCTGTTTAGCTTGCCAGGCAGATGCCAGTGGTATAGGGCAAAGGAAACACAGGGTCCTTGCCCGTCCCGGGAGCCCGTTCCCTCTGCTTGCAGCTCTTGTGTTTAGCCAGATGTCCCGCTACTCACTGTAATTACCACATTTCCACTCAGGATATTCTCTATTTCCTGCCTCCGAAGGTCAGAGGAGTGCCCTGAACAGCCACAAACTCTGGGTGTCTCACACCACCAGAAGTCAGGGTACCTCTGCCTGAAGTGGAAATATCACCTCCTCTATGAAATCAGAGGAATGGCTCTAGCATAGCTGCCTTTCGTTTGCTTTAAACAGAAAAGCATGCTGAGTGATAACAATACAGTAATAATGTCATTATTAACATTTATTGAGGCTTCTGAGCATAACATTTGTCGAGGTGCTAAGCATTTTTCTAAGTGCTTTACGTGAATCTTCAACAGCCCCAAGAGGTAGGTTTTCTTATTATCCCAGTTTACAGATGAGAAAACGGACACTGAACACATAACTTGCCCATGGTCACACTGAGCCTGCAAAACAAGGCTTTGGTCCCTGAGAGTCTGGCTTCTGCTTTTAGGCTCTTAACCACCGACACCCCAGGCTATCCTTTGACATGTGCTTGGAGGGAACTAGAGTCCAGAGGCCCTCAAAGTGAGGCTGCGACCAGTCCCAGCCGGTGGTCCCTCCTGCCAAGCCTGCCGGCTGCCGGCTCTGTAGGTTCTGAAGCGGCAGGTTGTCCCACCTCTTCCAAGTCCCTTGTGCCTATCAGGAAACCGTGTGTGATGGTTTCAATTCTTCAGATGCAAAGTCATCAGTGGAGCTAGACCACCTCATTAGGGTCAGATTTTTTTAATAGTTGATACTTAAGGACAGCTAAACTTAACTCCCCATGGTTCTCTTTTCTTCTCTTTTTCCTTCTCTCTCAGTCCCCTCTAAAGCTCTCCCTCCTTAGCTGGTAGAAAAATGCACCACAGACCTGCTGGGTCAGAATCTCTGGGACGTGTGGTTGGGACTGCCTTGTTCACGTGCCCCTAGGGGGTTCTGATGCCCAGCACAGGGGGCGAGGAAATCTTTTATAAACTTTTCTTAATTTTCAGCACTTTAAACATACCACTTTATTCTAGTGTCAGTTTAACCCAGTGGTCGGCAAACTGTGGCTTGCGAGCCACATGCGGCTCTTTGGGTACGTACATGTGGCTCTGAAGTAAAATTGAAAATGAAAAAAAAAAACTATCATAGTTTCATTTATAAAATTTTTAAGGGATATTATTCACATAATGGTGATTTCATTTGTTTTATGGCTCTCACATAATTTTTAAGTTGTTGTGAGGGACAGGATTGGCTCTTCCATCTCAAAAGTTTGCCGACCCCTGGTCTAACCTATGCCAAAGATACTTCACATTTCATTTCTCTCTGTCATTCTATCATTGGTGTGGTCCTTTTCTGTCTCATTAAGTTGTGGCCCACTTGGATTCCCCAGGCTGTTCTGTCAGACCCCCTCCCCAGCCCCTACAAAACCCTGCTGGACAGGAGCCCTCCGTCCCAGGCCTGTTCAGCTGCCCTGAGTTCTCCTGCGCGCCCAGCCCAGCCCAGCCGCGCTCCCTGCCTCAGCCCAGTGCCTGGGCGGGACGCCTCTTCAGGGCCCTGCCTACCTGATGAGCGGCTCTTCTCTCCCTCCTGGTGCAGGACTCACTACCAGAGAAGCTGGCTGTGCACGAGAAGAATGTCCGAGAATTTGATGCCTTTGTAGAAACCCTGCAGTAAAAGTTGGTGTCCTCGAGTACCAGCAGCATCCCCTTTTTGTGGTCCCAGGCGACAGACAGCCTCCCACTCATCAGCTGCTCCCATCCCTCGTCCTGCTCCCAGCCAGGTGGAGGGGAGGCTGGTTTCCCCCATGGGGACCCAGAGGTTCCTGCTCTTGCATCTCCTGGAGACGCCATGGCAGCAGTCAAACCCAGTGATAGCACTTGCGAGGACTCACCCTCTGGCTTGGAGATGGGAAGACCCTTTTGTAAAAAAAGGGCCGTCTGCTTCCACCGCCCATCGGCAACTGCTTCACAAAGGCTGTCATGTTCTTCCCCTGCTGGCCCTGGGCCCTGGGTCCACCCTGCAGCTGGCCCCTTGCCTGCCTGCCATTACCACCAACCATTTGACATTCCAGCTGGTGGCCCAGAGTCTGGTGTGGAGGCAGAAAGAGGAAGGAGACCGTGCTGGGAGGAAGAATGAAGGGCTCCTTCCAGCTCTCTGTTGTCCTTTAGTTCTGGTATCTTCTTCCTCTCGCTCCCCCTCCCTCCGCCCCTGTGGCTATACTTTTGGCAATATGGCAGGCCTCTTGCCCAAGACGATGAGAACTCCAAAGTCAGCCAGCCCCTCCCTTGACAGAGGGTCTGAGCAGCCCTGGTGGCTGCCTGTGCTCGCTCCTCAGCTACACGGAAACAAGCCCGTGTCCCTATGATTGGGAGTCACAGCAAACGTTCTTGTCTTTCCTCCTTTCCCCTTTTGCTGCTCCTTGGTTATAGAACATGGTAAATATTTATTACATTCAGAGAAGTCAGATATTTTATAGAGAAAATATGTTTGAAGTTAGATGTTCTCACTTAGGGAAGGTGGAGGGCCCCTTCCTGGGGCAGGACCTCCCCTCCTGCGGAGGCTCCTCAGATTCCAGGTTGCTGCTCTGGGGATCTTCCTTCCCATATGTATAAAGTGGGAGCCAAGAACAGGGCTGGCTGAGGGCAACAGAACCTCCCAGACACAGCGTTTGAACTGACAACAGGGGTTACCTTGGCCACCTGCACAGTCCTGGTGAGCGCCTTGGGTCTCTCACAGCTTCTGCAGTGACTGTTCTGGCAGCCCAGGAAGCCTTGGGTGCTAACCATGATGACTTCCAGAGTCGTGCCACATAGCGTGCCCATGGGGCATTGTGTGTGCCCCGGTGGGCCTGGGGAAGGCCAGACAGCTTCCCTCCTTCTGGGGCACGTGTCCTGTTTCTCAGGGCTGGGTCATGGGCCTTGTCCTCCTTCCACCTGGGCCTGGCCACCACCTGTCTTTAATCCCAGGGTCTGTACATTACTCTGAGGTTTACTCGTTGCGTTGATTCCTTGTTGAGAAACTAAAGCTGGGCATATGAACAACAACCTTTCAGGAGTTGTTACTTGAGTAAGTCAAGTGCCTAGCCGGTAGTCCTGGCCATGGGAAACTAGGCCTGCCCCACTCCTCCCGGCCCACCTGGCGTATTCACTGGCAGCAGCTGTCCTGCAGTGGAGCACGTGGCCCTCGGTTGCTTGTTAGTAAATGCATGTGACATTGTTCCCACCTGCAAGGCTGATCTCTGCGGCTGGATTGGGCTCCGATGCTGTCTCAGTTAGGCTGAGTCCTGCCCCTGTGCATGCATTCTGCTGCCACAAAGACGTGTTCCCAGCAGGGCGGTCCAACTGGCCGTCCTATCTTTGTGCCAGAGCACCCCCACGGCCCGCTAAATCAACTCACATTACCCCCAGGCTCGAGCGCTGAGAAGGGTGGAGGCCCGTTGTAAGGTATTGTCTCCCCAGCCCTGCACCTGGTCCTGCTGTCTCAGCCGGACCTCCTTTTGAGGCCACACATGGAAAAGCCTGTTAGCCATTGTCCTCTTTGACTTCTAATTGTTGGCCTGTGCAGGCAGCAGCCTTTCTTCAGGACCCCATCAGTGAGAGGCCAGGGAGGCTGAGCTGAAGCTGGGAGGAGCAGAGCAATTGTCAAGGCCGGCCCTTGCCCCTCAGCCCTGTCTGATAAAAGGTATGAGCCCTAGACTGACTCTAACGCCCTGAGACAGGACTGGGACCCGTCATCTGTCTGCAGGTGGCCGAGTCCCCTCCTCCAGCCTACCTTGTTTGGAAATACTGAATTATACTTTAAAATGTATTCAAGAGATTTCCAATAAAATTTTTTCTGTACTTTACTGCTTCCTGTCCTGCAAGTTGTCTAAAATTCTAGCCCACTGCCTCCCACGTCTGTGCAGGCCTGGGTCACCGACAGGCTCCGGGGCAGGGGCAGGGGCAGGGGCAGGGTGGTGCGGTATGAGGCGCAGAAAGGCTGCAGATTTAGGCCGTTGTAAGTTTTGGGGCTTGGCCACTTCCCAGCTGTGCAGACGGGCTGGTCATGAGACCAACTAGAGCCTCATGTCCCTGGGCCATAATGTTCTCATTTCAGGGGCTCCTAAGTGAATATTCAGTGAGATAATGTGTATGAAATAGCCTGCATATGAAGTAAGCTCATCATAAAATCTCCATAAAACATAGGCCATTATCACCAGCTCTTCCCCCCTAGGCCACACAGCTTACCACAGCTTGGAGGAAATGGCCTTTGGTCAGAGGGAAAGACACCTGGCAGGGAGTGTGGGGCACCCCAAGTTGCCTGCCTGGGATCTGTTTGCTGATCAGTGTGAGGGGTTGTGGCTGAGCAAACCAGACTGAAGGGAAGGGGTTGAGTGAAGTAGCAGAAAGGCAAGGGCCAGTTTGTTGAGCTGCCCTGGTCTGACAGACAGCTTGAGCCAGGACACTGGGGTGGTCTCTGAGGGGCCATGGAAAGTGGAAGGTCCCAGAAAGTCGAAGGGCCTCGGCAGCAGGCCTCTCAGCCCTGGCAGAGCTAGCTCCGGCTTCCTAGTTTGCGCCCGCAGCGAGCGAAGAAGCTGAAAGTGGAGCCCGTGTCCCAGAGGCGGAGGTGCTGCTAGAGGCCACAGACCAACTACCGGGCAGACACTGGCAACTGCTGTCTGGGTGGCTTCCTCACCTTTTCAGGCTGAAGCCAGAACCCAGGACAGAAAAGGGCTGGTTAGATGGTTAGAAAATTCTAAATTCGGCCCAAACCTGAGGCTGCAATGAATGAGACCCACCTACTGTTGCCATTATGGGCCCTGGGAGCCCCTGCTTGTTAGTAAACTATGCTGGTGACACTGACCATGGTGCCTGACCAGGCAGCCAGTCAGGACAGAGTTGGCCAACCCCTGGGGGAGAAATGGTAGACTGTCCTTGGTATCCTCACCTTCGATTCGGGTCCCCCAAAAGCAAAGCATTTCCCCATGTCTGACGATGGTGCCCGACTCCTTTAAAGCATCTCCCTGCACTCCCATCCCCAGAGACCTGCTGTTGCCAAGGCAGGGGTAAACTGGCTTTTGAGTCACTCAGCAGAGGCCTTGCCAGGAGCCCAGCCCAAGTCAACAGCTCTCTCCCTGTCTCCCGCCCCACTCCTCGTCGCCCTGGGCCATAGCCCCTCTGCTCTAAACAGTCACCCAGCTTAGAGCTGAGGAGAGCCAGTGAGGAGGCCACCAGCGCCTTCTGATCAAGCTACCTGGATGCGGGCCAGTTGTGCCGTGGGACTGGCTTCCCGGAGCTCAGTGCCCGTGTTTATTCCAACCGTCCCTACAACACTGCTGGGTCCTGCAGCTCTGCCCCGGCTTCCCCAGTTCAAGCAAACAATGAGGAAAAAACAAGAAGCCGCCCAACCGAAGCCACCATAGCCTCCTGATTGCAAGTGGCAGACAAGCAGCAAGCTGCCGGAATTTGACCTTGACAGCTGTGCCAAGTAAAATTCTGGCCCGCCCCCAGTGACAAACCACTTCTTCAATTGTAAAACATATGTAAGAAATTTTACCATCTTAACCTTTAAAGCAAAGCAAAACCTGTTCAAAAGAGGAAAGGAAAACTGAATGTTTCCTAGCCTCCCTGTGACTAGGTGGCAGGTGGGCAAGGCCAGGCACTCAGGCCGAGGGGAGTGGGGGAGGGGTGGGATGGCCAAGGAGGGGTTCAATCGCAGCTGCTCCTCAGGCTGGGACTCGCACTTCGTGCATCTGTGAAGTGATGGTCATCCTAGTTACCACAGGGCACTCACTCGGAGTTATGGACTGCAGACATTATTTCTGATCCTCAGAGAAATGAAGACACAATCTCAGAGGTGGGGCCAATTAATTATACGACTGTTACCAGTTAGAGCTGGCAGTGAGAGATGGAACTGGGATTCAAACCCTGTTGGACTCTAAAACCCATACTGTTGTCCACCGCAGTCCACTCCATTTTGGGGACAGAAGAGGCCCTGGTCATAGGATACAGCATACGGCAGCCAGGTGGAATTCTGCAGGTGCCCAAAATGGCAAGTGACTGCACTACTAAGCCTGGAAGATGGTCAGAAAGCTGGCCTCTGACCCACTCACAAGTGAACAAGATGAGGACGGGGTCAGATGGACTGGCGAGGGACTTCCTGAGGCCCCATCTGCCCTTCCGAAACCACACACTTCCCACCCAGTTCTGAACCTCCATGCCCACTTCCTTAACAGCCAGATGGGCAGTTTCCATCTCCGTTTTTATTGAAATACAAAAAGTGCAAAGGTAAAATACATGATTGGTGCCAAGGAAGTCATTAAGTGTGAATGTGAACACTTGATTCACAGTACAAGCCCTCCCCCCCACCGTCCCCCCGCAGGTACATACCAGTGGGGCAGGGGACCGGGGAAAGACCAAATAGATCCACAGGCTCCCCAGTAAATGGGGCTGTGAACAACACCTGATATACAGAGGACAGAAAGCAGAGGTCTGGGCCCAAGCTACAGACACAGGGACTGACAGAAGCAGCAGCCACACCAGTCCTAACAGGCCAGTGCCCTGGGGGGAGAGTCCAGTGAGGTCAGGGCACAGGCCCCACCCGGCTCCCAGGTGGAGCTGGGCTGCTCAGTGAGGACCTCCACAGTACAGGCACGGGCCAAGGCTTCAGGAAAGGGGGGGTCCCCAGGGTTCACCAGGAAGGAGTGTAATTCTAAAGCGCACAGCTGGAATGAGGGACAGCCATCACTGGGGTCTGTTTTCTGGGGCCCTGGGCTCCCTCGGGGAGGTTGCTGGAACTCGATGGTAGAGGCCAAGTAACTAGCAAAATCTCTGCCCAGTCCGTCCAGGAGTCCCCAGCAGGAGGAAGGAGCCACCACAGTTCCTGAGGCAGAGTCACCTCTGGCCAGAGCAGGGACCAGTGTGACTCTGCAACAGACATGTGCGCAAGAACCTTAGGCCTAGGATGGAGGCTGACTGCTTATCATGGTCCAACCAGACACTAGGGGCCTCTTGGGGGCAGGGAGTGGGGGTGTCCATGTCGAATGGATGCTGGGACTCAGCCATGTCATCCAAGCTGCCAGTCCTGGAAGAACCAGGAGGTTAGAACACCCTGGGGCAGTACCACTTGGGAAAGGCTGACCAGGACGTGTGCAAGAGGAGGAGGCAGAACCAGGAGGCAGACCAGCCTGTCATTCCTTAGCTGTGGAAATACCCAAGGCTGAGCCCACGGAGGGGAGGACAGGAGCAGGGTGCTGGCAACCAGGCCTTCATCCAGCCAGGAAGGAGTCTCCGCAGGGCAGGCCTAGGGCAGCTCAGCCCTTCCCTTTCACTCCCCAGCAACCAGGAGGCGGCGGACCGGCCCCAGCTATTATACCAGCCCATCTGGCAGTGATTTTGGCACCTGCAGTTGCCAGGGAAAGAGGCAGGAGAAAGCAGGACAGGGATTGCTGGGGCCAGTCCTCCCGCTGGAAGAGCCAAGGCCAGCTCTGCAGAGCCCCACAGGAACCAGGGATCCAAGGAGGCAGTGAGAATATAAGGCGAAGAAAAACGTCTCATGGTAACAGCGAGGCCTCCAGGCCGCTGAGCTGGGCTGGACAGAAGGGGCGGAGAAGCTGCCCAGTTGGCTGGCTCCTGCTTCCGTGTCCCAGGGCCTCAGGAGCCCTTCCAGGGCAGGAGCCCTGGGCTCCTATAAGGCTGACGCCAGGAGGAAGAGTCCAAACGGGGGCTATCAGAGAAGGGGGCTGGTGGGGCCGGGGCCGGGCTCAGAGCCCCTAGGAGTCAGGGCTAGGGAACAACTCCCCTTGATGATCCAGGAGGAACTTGGTGAAGGTGTTGATGGGATTAATGGCCTTGAGAGTGATGGCAGCATCTTTGGCCCACAGCAGATTAGGGCCGAAGACGACAGCCAGGTTAGTGTTGGTCATCTTGTTCTGGTCACAGTGGGCAGACACCTGTGGAGGGGCATCGGGGGACTGCAGCAGGCTGCCACAAACCCTGCCTCCCACGCCCGGCCACCAGCTGCCCCGGATCAAGGGGCCGTGGCTCCTCCCTCCTCCAGGTGAGCAGCAGAGGCTGAGGCCGAGGTCTCACCTGCACCAGGAAGGCAGTGAGGAAACGAAGCACCTGGTAGTTCTCCTGAGGCAGCGTCTGGAGGACCTGCAGCGTCACCTCCACTCTCTGGCTCTCATCGATGTCTATGAGGAATGGGGGCCCAGGTTACGGGGGCCCAGGACTGCGCTGGTTCAGGAAGCCCTAGCACGAGGCCAGAGGGGAGACCCCAACCAGACTTTCCTCGGAGGAGAGGCCAAACCCGCCCGCCCAGACCCAGCAGAAGCAGCGTGGAGCTGGGGAGGGAACAGGGCACTCACTGAGGAAGCCCACAACGTGGGGGTAGAGGTCAAAGGTGAGCAGGGGCTCTGGAAGCTCCCGGAGGAAGGTCTTGAGGATGACCGCTGGCAGGTGCGTGTCGTACTGGTTGAAGTCCACAGGCAGCCCTGGAGGTGGGGGTGGGTGAAGGACAGAGAGGAGCTGGGGCCGGCCTGGGGGCCAGCAGCCCATCTGGAGGCCAAGCTGGCCCCACTGCCTGTCTTCCCCTCTTCCTCTGTGACAAGGGGATGCAGGTTCAGGCCATCTGGGTGGAATGGGACCCCCGGAGCACATACTACAGTTAGTCCGTGTCTTCAAATGAACCTGAGCCCAGGACCCAGGAGCCTGACTGACGACAGAGCAGGCCTGGGACAGCCAGGCAGGAGTGAGACCCAGGTAATTACACCAAATGCCACAGAAACCTCTGACGGGAACAGAATCTGGGACCCTTGTTTACAGGGCAGCAAAAGGCAGAGAAGCCCCCTAACAGCCACACACGTCCCCCCCCACACACACACACGTGGGCCTGGGCACATCCCCGACCACTCACCCATGTTGTACTTGTGCTGCACTTCCCGTACAATTTGGGTGTTGGCGGACCTCCGGAAAAGCCCCTCGGTGGTGAGAGCTAGGAAGCAGTGGGGCCAGGTGAGTCTCAGCTCGGGGAAGTGTGTAGACTCCCCTACCCACTCTCTGCCCTGGGGCTCCAGTCAGGGTCAGTGCAGGAGCTGGCACAGCTGGGACCTCTTTCAGCCCTGCCTGCGTGCCAGCTTCTGGAGGGGGCTGGGGTCTGGCTGAAGGACGGGCGGGTCCAGGAGGCACTGTGGCAGGTGGGCCCTGGCACTCACCCTGGGCCTGCAGGTAGGCGATGGTCTCGCGGAGCACTAGTGGAATGGGCTCCTGCTCTGGGTTCTTCTCCTGGAGGCTGTGGAAACAAGGGCAGTGAGCGGGGTCTGCGGCCCTTCCCGGTCTCCAGGCACCAGGCCTGCCCACTGTTCGCATACTCACTGCTGTAGTGAGACCCCAAACTGCTGGTTGGGCAGAGGCGGCCGTGGTGGCATGGGCTTGGGGGCTGTTGCAGGGCTCTTCTGAGTGGACTTCAGGAAGTCGTCATACCTGGAGGGACAGGTGGGAGGGTCAGGCCCTCTGCCGACCCGTTTGCCAGGCACTTCCTGTGCCATTTTACACAGGCTGCATCATGCAATCCTGCTTTACACGAGAAAGCGAAGACTTTAAAGAGTCAGTCACACCACTTTTAAGTGACAGAAATGCAATTTGAACTCTCTCTGACCCCACTGCTGTCTCTTGATCATTACATTTGCTTCTTCTGTTTATCCTGGGGTTCGCCTTACCTGGCACATCCCCCCCCCGCCCCACAAACATGATACACATGCACTCAGGTGCCATCCAATGGGCACCCACAGCTGCTGCCCTGGCCTCACCTAAGCACTTGGTGAGGGATCCCCAGTTGCTCCAGCTTCACATGCTCGCTCAGCTCACTCAGGTAATTCACATAGAAGATCTTCTGCCCAAACTTGAAGCTGCCGACAGAGGACAGGGTCTGGGTCACGGGGCGCACCTGCTCAGCAGGCCGCCACGGTCCCCTCGGCAGCGCACCAGAGCAGACAGAGGCCTGACCCCAAACGCTCTGTGCCTGGATGCTCGGCCGCCTCAGGCTGTCTGCGTCAGAGTTCAAGGGGGAGCCTGGGGAGACCACCGCCCCACCCTTGGCCTGCACACCTAATGATGGGCTTGAAGAGGATGAGCAGGGTCTTGATGAACATGGTGGGGTGCACGATGTACAGGGCCTTGATGTTCTTCTTGTACCTGTGGGGGAGAGCGGGAGCTCAGGAGAGGCCGAGAGATAGCTGGGTTCTCCACGTGCACTTTCTCACTTGATGACTCACGGCAAGCCTGCGAGGTGAGTGCCACTGATGCCCCATTTCACAGATGAGGAAACGGGGTCTCAGAGATGTTAAGTAACATGAACGGTCACAGAGCAAGTAAGCAGAGAAACTGGAACTTAAGTCCAGGCCATCCCAACTGCAGATTGCTTGCGCTTACCCAGGTTGGGGCAACCTGCCTCCCCCAGGAATGGAATAAGCTCCTGTCTGAGCAAAGGGCAGCCCAGCCACCTGCCCCCAGGCCCCAACCCACTTGCGGTCAAACTCCCGGTAGGCATCCCGGAGCCAGCTGAGGGACGGCTTGTTGTCGCTGGTCAGGCCATGGTGCAGGTAGAGCAGCGTGTAGTCGCTCTCCACGTACTGGTCCAGCGTGTGCTTCAGGTACCTTCAGGAGACAGAGCTGCTCAGGCCTACCCTGTGCACAAGTGGGGCCCCATGAACACAGAACCCAGGGCCCCCAGCAATCTCCTGCTTATCTCACACATACCCCCCACAGAGCCCTGCCCTGCATTGTCTATCCCCGCTGGCTGCATAATCAGTTGCCATGTTGTTGGGGGTGGGGGGCTGGGCTGGGCAGAGAAGCAATAATAATAACAACAGCTCTCAGTTCTGAATGCTAGAAGTCAGGTGACCAGGACCCTAACTGCAGCCTTCTCACATACCTGCAGGAAAAATGAGAAGAACATTTCCCTCACAGGATTGCCCTGAGTCAATAACAATGATGAGAGTCACCATTTATCAATATTGAGCTTTTAGTGTCTGCCAGCCAAGCACTTTGCACATATTATCTCATGCCTTCCTCCTAACAACTGAGGCTGATATTATCCCCTTCTTACAAGTGAGGGCAATGAAGCTCAGAGAGGTCAAGTGCTTATTCAAGGTCACACAGCTTGTGGTGGAGCCTGGAGGTGAACTGTCTAACTCCAAAGCTCATGTTCTTGACCATAGCACAGCTCTGCTTTTTTTTTTTTTTTACAGCTCTGCTTTTTATACTCAAATTCCCAGCACAGGCTATGAAACACTGTGCCCCTGAGAGGGGATGATGGCGGCCAGAGGGTCCCTCCAACTGGCCCAGTCACTGGGCTTTTCGTAGACCAAAGACCCACATCTCAGGTTCCCTGTGTTCACAACACGATACCTACCACTCCAAAAGCAACACATACATAGTGCTGAGCCCACCTGAGGTGGAGAGGAATGAAGGAAATGAACAGAGTTCCAGAAAGGGAGAGGAGTCCAGTGGAATGCCCTCTTTCTGGTTGGTCAGCCCCAGGCCTCAGCAGGATCACCACTGGAGGCTGGGAGGCTGAGGGATTCCAAGAGAGGCAGGAAAGGAAGGAAGGAGCCGGGGGCCTGAGCCAACCTAGAGAGGGTAACTTAATGGTCCATAATGCTGGGCTAGGCAGCCCGGGGCATGTACGGTGTCTTGGGCTGGATTAGTATTGTGATTCTGATCACTACACAGTAATTTACTACACAGTAAATCACTACACAGTCATTTACCCCTTCTACACATTGAGCGCTTTGCAGTTTGCAAAGATCTGTCACATAAAGATATGGCATTAAAAAAATAAAATAAAATAAAAAATAAAGATAGGCATTTTTACAACTATAAAATAGCAATAATTTTAGTGAAAATATATTCATCCTTTGATGGATGTTAGACCTTTAAGAACGCAATAAAGTGATGCCTATCAGAAGCTATAAAATGTTCCTACTCTTTGACCCTGAAACTATGTCCTGGGATTTATCCTAAGGAAATAATCAGAGATGAACAAACATTTTTGTACAAGGCTGTTCACTGCAGCCTGTTTTATAATGGAAAAAAAAAAAAGAGCAGCCAGCTAACTGTCCAACAACAGGGAACTGGTTAAGTAAATCACAGGACATCTATAAATAGACTACCTCAGAGGATGCTTCTACAGACAGAACCAATCTGTGACGTTAGATGTCAGAACAGTGGAAACCCTTGGGGTAGTGACTGCAAGAGCAAATGGAGGTTTATGGGTGTGGCTGACATGGGTGGGTTTGGTTTGTGAAAATTCAGCAAGTAGTATACATAATTTGTTCACTTTTCTATATACATATATGTCAATAAAAGTTTTCAAAGGATATCTTTAAAGAATATTTAATGCTTAAAAGAGAAAAACATGTAAGATACAAAGCTGACTCTACAGCTCTATGTTAGAGAAAAAATAGGAAGCTAAATATTACTAAATATTACTAAATACACTAAAATATTAACAGTGTTTTGCTGTCTGGGCGATGGGTTTATGGGAAATTTAAAAAATATATATAGTTGTCTATATATTTTCTTTTTTACAGCTACCTACATTTTAAGAAATTCTTGAAATCTGTAACACAAATGTACACAAAGGCATTTCACATATATTATCTTACCTAATGCCCACAACAACCATGTGAGGTGGGCACAATGCTTTTTTTTTTATAGGGCTCAAAAGAGACCTGACCCCAAGTACACAGCTAGTAAGAGGCAGAGATGAAGTTTAAGTAGTCTTCTGAATCCAAGTGTCAGGCACTTTGTTTCAACCCCCAGAGCCGAGTGGTCAGCTGGGAAAGCCAAGCTGGAGATGATCTGACTGCAAACAGGAGGACGGCACGGATCTATCCTGGTGGCGCCTCCCTGCGACCAGCCAGGCGAGGTTGGGGAGGTCCATCCGGGAAGGGATGGACGGCAGGACAGATGGCCGAGGGCTTCTTGAAGTCAGAGGAAGCCCCAGAGTGGGAGCCGCCTCACTTGTCAGGCTCTCTACCGAAAACTAGGTGCTTTCCATCCCCCTCCTCTGACTTCCTCCTACTCAGACTATTATCTGGCCAGGAGTCTGTCACCTGCCTTGTCAAATATGATCAAACCAGAGGGAAGGGCTTGTGACTCAGCCACCCCCAGGCTGAGCTCCTGGCCTGTTCTTGGCTGGGCCACATGGTAGGCCTAGACAAGGGCTCTGCCTGCTTGTCTGAGGAGCGGTGGGGGGAGGGTACAGGAGGCCAGAGAGAAAGAAGTCATGCCGGCTGGAGAGCCCCGGGTCTGGCCCTGGCTCACCGGAGCCACAGAGGCTCCGCCCTCAGGCCCTTCTCCTTCTGCTGCTGCACCCCAGGCCTGTCCCTGATCCCTCAGCACGCCCTAGCACACACAACCATTCAAGAGCCCAAAGAGCTGGTCTGGGCGGTGCAGACATTTTCAGTTTCAGGGAGTGCTTTCACTGGTCAGGAGAGACGCGCAGGACAGTAACTACACTCACTGAGGGGCACCAGGGGGCAGGCAGTCACGGCTCTGCCTCCATGGCGGTCCCCACGTTCTGCGGGCCCAGGGCTGTTCTGGGGCTCAGCGTTTGTCAAACTCCAACTTGCATCAGGAGATTTCTAGACTAACCAGAGCGGTTATATGTATTTAACAGAATCTCGGTAAGTACCGACGTCACTGGCGCCAAATTTGGCACAAAATAAGAGAACACTAATTATCCATATAAATGATGAATGACTGCAACCACATCAGACACCGTATCATTATAATAATCAGCCCCCACATTTGGACGGTGTTTTACTTTTCAAAGCATTTTCACATGCAGTATCTCACACCTTGCCAAGGTCTGGTTTCCAGGACTAGCCCGAGGTCTGACTCCTAGCCCAGGACTGACTCCCCCAAATGTAAATAGCTCCCTCAGTAGAAAAGGGGGGGCACTGAGGGAGGTGGCCTGGTACCGTCACGCAGGGAGGGACAGTAAGGAAAACGGCATCAGGCCAAACTGGGGACCTGAGCACAGGTCCCACCACCTGCCCCGTGGGTACTCACCCCAGGAGCTTGCTGTGGTCCAGCTGGTGGCTCGGGGGCATTCGGCAGGCGCTAAACACAATGATCTTCCGCCCATACTTGTCATCTCCTAGGTGTGGAGAAAGATGGAGCATGGTGGGTTAAAGATGAACCGAGAGAAGTAGGCTGAGGAGAAGTAGCCTGGAGACCTGTACCATTTAGTGCAGAGGCCAGAGCAACCTGTGCAGATATGCCTCTGGGCAGATGCCTACACTCAAGGGGGCGTCGCTGAAAAAAGAGGGAGAGGTTGCTTTCAGGGCTACTGAGCTGGGGTATAAAGAAATAACATGACTTTAAAAAATAAAAAAAAATCACGCCTGGTGGGAACAACCCAAATATCTATCAATGGATGAATGGATAAAGAAAAGGTGGCACATCCAGGCAATGGAGTATCATTGATTGCTTAGCTGTAAAAGGAATGAAGAACTGACACATGCTACATTGTGAATTAACCTTGAAACCATGATGCTAAGTGAAAGGAGCCAGTCACAAAGGGCTACATGCTGTAGGATTCCATTTACATGAGCTATCTAGAATAGGTACATCCACAGGGACAGAAAGCAAATGAGCAGTTGCCAGAGCGTGGGAGGGGCAAGGCAGAGACTAACTGCTGGCGAGTATGGGGTTTACATGGGTCTGGATGAAACTCGGGAACTGCAGAGATACACAACACTGTGACTACTAAATACCACCAAATCGTACACTTACGAATGGTTAAGTTTATGTTACGTAAGTCTCACCTCAGTTAAAAAAAAGTCACACCCTCCAAAGCAACTGTTGTCTTGCCAAACAGTCACCTTAAATTCCAGAAGCAGCTGCTCTGGGCAACGTGTATTTGGAAACCCTCTCGTAGCTACCTTTGCAGCAAGTCCGAGGCCACTGAGGAAATCGGCCTGAGTACATAACAGTCACATCTCAGTTTTGAACACTGACAACGCTTTCTGATTTTATTATTGAGCACACTTGACTCTAACTTCTGGACATTTCTAAAAGTCATATCCTTGCCCATTAAGGATATTATCAAGAACATGAAGTTGAGAGAAGTCTGTAATGCTGCGGGAAAATGCTCATTTGGATGTAATCTCTCAGGGATGTTTGTCCAAAACTAGTCACAATTTGATGTTCTGACCATCAGACTCTGTCATGAAGCCATGAAGCGGGGGAGCTCCTGAGACATATGCTATTTCCCTGCACAGTGAGATGTTCTTCCAGGGTCAGCAGGGATCAGGGACCACAAGCAAAGCTGAATGGGGACAAGACCTGGTCCCCACTCCTCCGTGTCCCAGGGACCTTCCCTTTATCTCTACTCTCACGCCTCTCCAGAGACACCAAACCATACTTGCCTAATCCCAATTACTTCAGAGGAGCATAAAAAGACCACTACACAACCCATGAAAGGAGTGAGTCTGCCCACCATCTACCGCTGGGGACTAAGGATCCCCCAGGCCGTGCTGAACGTCTTCCCCATATTTAAATAAGCCATGACCTTGATGATCCTTTCTGGTCAGTGACTTTACCCAGCAGTTAGTGCTTTTCCAAGGCTCTCTCTTCTCCGGCTGGGGCCAGTTTCAACCGAGAGGCTGAAGGAGGCTTCTGGAATGTGGGCCAGGTGGCTCCAGTCCCTGCTGGCTGCGTTTCTGGGACTGGCTCACAGGATTCTCCAGGTTGAACCCACCTCCCTGCAGGCTCACATCGCGCACACTTCTAACACAGAAGTGCCTGCAGCCCTGCCTAAGTCAGGCCGCTTTGAGTCTGCTGTTTCTCATGCCGAAAAGACCTTTCTCTAGACCAGTGGTTATCAACCTTCCTAATGCCGCGATCCCTTAATAGTTCCTCATGTTGTGGTGACCCCCAACCATAAAATTAGTTTCGTTGCTACTCTATAACTGTAATTTTGCTACTATTATGAATCGTCATGTAAATATCTTTTTATTTTCCGATGGTCTTAGGCAACCCCTGTGAAAGGGTCGTTCGACCCCCAAAGGGGTCGCGACCCACAGGTTGAGAACCGCTGCTCTAGACAATTCTGCTCCCCTCCTCCAGCTAAATCCTTTGAGTCCTGAAGACTCATCCCAGGCGTATCTCCGTCCAGGAGCCTGTGTCCTCTCCTCCTTCTCCCAGACAAGTCAGCTGTCTCTTTTCATGGCTCCAAGCATGAACCATCACCCACCTGTCCTGTGTAACTGTTTATGTGCCTGTCTCCTCTATTGGCTTGTGAGCAGCTAGATGACAAGGACCTGTCTCATCACCTTTGAATCTCTCACGCTAGTCCAGAGCCCAGCACGTGGCAGGTGTTCAGTATATGTCGGTAGCGTGCACACAGTCATCAGCCAGCATTACACGGTATGCACGGTTCTATTTCTGAGTTAGTTCACAATAAATATCTAGGTCACAAAGCTGCTGCAGACAGTGAGTTTCCCAAAGCCTGGGGCAGGTTTCTCCGGACTTACCAGCAGAGATCCTTCTGTAAGCCTGTCTGAGGGGGAGAAGGTGCAGCTTCATCCAGCAGCAGATCTAGCTTGAAGAGCCGGGTGCCACCTGCTCTCTTTCATACTCTAGCCTAGATCCTGGTGTGCTGGGCTCTTTCCTGGCCAGCTGGGTGGGGCGAAGGGCTTTGGGGTCTACTCTAATTCATTTCCTTTGGGCTCAGACAGGGGGCCAGGGCAAAGGGTAAGTTAGATTGGCCAGCTCAGCCTCATGTACAATCTGGAGGTTCAGAACCCCTGGGCCTCCTACCACGAGTCTGTGAGGGGGGAGACACCATCAGCCTACTCCCCTCTAAGCAGAGGAAATGCCCAGTGTGTAGGGATGTGGGGGGAAATGCCAGGAGCCTGGGGAATTCCGAAAGATTCTTTCCTTGCCTACCCCCCAACAGTAAGGCAGCCCTCATTGGCTGGCGGATTTGAGGAGTTAGCCAGGGCAGAAAGGCTGAACTTACATGGCTTTGGAATTTAAAGAGCTAGTAACTGGTTAAGCAAGTCATGAGGGAGAGAGGGCAGAAGGGCCAGAGCCCGTGCTCCGTCTCTCAGCTGGCCCCAGCACCTTGAAAGCAGGGAACTTTAGGTTCTCAACCAGGGCTCCACCAACGGGCATCCACCAACGCCATGATGTTATATGCAAAATATCACAAGCACGTGCATGTGTTTTCTAGGGGAAGAGGTCCAAAACTTTCGCATTCTCAAAGAGGAGTCTGACCAGTTTTAAGAACCACTTCCTTGAAGGAAGGAATGCGTATTTTTCCTCACTGAATCCTCACTGCTGACTACAGGGCTCGTTCCAGAGTAGGTATTTTATAAACGCATGTTGAATGAAGTCAGGATAGGGGGGCAAAAGGGAGAGTAGTGAGGGGCTGGATGGCAAGACCCCTGGACTGGCGAGGAACGAGATGCAGGCAACTCGAGGGTCTAGCCCCTGCCCTCCCCTCCCTGAAGCGGAGTCCCAGTGCCCAAGTTCTTGGATGACTCAGGCATTTGCCAGCAGACAGGGCGACTGCTGGCACAAGAACACAGTAAAAAGACCCAGAAGTCCCCTCCTGATCTCAGAGCACAGACTTCTGCCCTGGAGATTGAAGGGACAGAAGGAGCTGGTGACACTGGTGTCCCCAGAGCACTGGGGGAGAGGGCTCAACGAGGAAGAGGCACAGTGTTGGTGAGAAGCACCAGGAAAAGACCAGCCGCCTGCACACGAAGCCTCTGCATTCCCCGGATGCCGATCAGGGACTCTCCCAGGGTGGCCTGGGTGTTAATCAGCAACAGCACAGCTCCTCCAGCAGGCATTCTGGGAACTGCCAGGCCAGCCGCCCGCCCAGCCCACAACCCGCAGAGCAGGCCAAGGAGATGGGAGGTGGGGGCTGAGCAACATGCTGGAGCCGGCTCACACATTCGTTAAATTGTTAAATTGTCAGGAATATTGCAAGCCAGTTGACATCATTGAAATCTGCCACGGTAGAAATTGCAAATGCTGCAAATAATAGCCTTTTTTTTTTTTCTTTTCCTTTCAGGAGGATCATGTTTACCAGCACACCACAGGGAAGAACCCACTTGGACTGAGTCAAATGTGACAGTGGAGCATGACAGCCACTGCGTTAGCAAGACAGAGAGAGGCTGCAGAGGAGTTGGGGACATAACCCCATTCCAACATGGGCTCTTTCTCTGGTTTCTAATGCCAGGAAACTGGCATGGTCTCATCAAACAAGTCTCACTCACTCTAGCGGTGCCAATCCAAACTCCTGTCAGCAGTCAGAAAGGCACACACATGGGGACAACCCCACCAGAGGGACCGTGAGCCTGCAGCACTCAGCTCAGCCTGAGGAGCCAGCATGCAGGCCAGGCCATTGCTCAGAGCCAGCCAGCCCCTTCCCCACCCCCATGAACAAGGCCCCTTCCTCCCCAAAGCTCCTTTCCCTTTGGCTGTGGATGTATCCCCACACAGCCCCCACCCTGTCAAACTCCCATAATTCTTTGCTATTTCTTGCTCCCAGGCACCGCCCACTGCCAGCTCCCTAGAGTGGGGCTGCAATTAAGCCAGCCCCCTCTGGCATCCACCTGATCCACAGCCCAGAGGCCACAGCCCAAGAGGCTAAGCAGAGAGAGCCAGGAACACACCTACCTGGCTGGGCCCCCTCAGGCTCATCACACCCTGGAGAAACAGAAACATGTTGCAGCTCTGCTTACAGGGGGAAAAGGGTCACCTATGGAAAGTAGGGCGAGCCTGCCCTGTTCTGCCTTGTGATCTGGCCCATAGGCCAGGAGGACATCTGGATAGAGACTCCTTCACATCGGAGAGCCACCACTGCCTGATAAGGTCCATCCCTGGTAGTGAGGAGAGCAAGCTCTGACCCTTCAGAACTTCTGTGCCCAGGTTAGGACCAGATCAGGAAAGAACTCCCAGCCTTGCTTCTGTAGGGGTGAGAGAAGCCCCGGCCCAGACCAGGGCAGGCTCCAGGAACACAAATGTCACGGAAACACCTTTGACATTAGGGACAACCCTCTGACCGGACCTTCTGTCCGGAAGGACAGCTGGAGCCCCCCTGCTGCTTCGCTATGGCCAGATGCCTCCAGGACCCCCTCAGCCAGCACCACACAGGGCTCCAGGGGCCATGCGTTCCCTGGCTCCCCTCCCCCACACCAGTGCCTCAGAGCCCGGCCATGCTGTCACCCTTCCTTACAGCTGCCTAGCCTCACTAGCAAGGACAGAAAACCATTAGGGAAAAGACAAAGGATCTTGCAATTCATTTCCTCTTCTCACAGTGGGACCCTAAGGGCAGAGATCAGGTCAGCAATAAGCTAACTCCCCCGCTGCTTCTGGAGTCTTCTGGGTCCTACATTATGAACAGGAGGGTGGAACTGCACTGAGGCCCAGACCCTAGAAGGCTCCTCACTTGTTCTCAGGGGGGAGCACATCTGCCAGGAACTTGGTGCTATGGGGTCATGTGGCCCCTGGCTTCCAGACTTCCGTGGAGGCAGGTTGCCCAGGAGGGACTGGCATTTCCCTGCTCTCCAGTAACTGATGTGTTAGAAAAGCTGACATGAAGGCAAAGGGAAGAGGGGTAAAATGACCACTTACTTATTCAGCGCCAACTATGTTATGGCTCTGGGCTAGGCCCTGGCATACATTCACTTATATAATCCTTTCAGCAGCCCCATCAGGAAGAAATGAGTTCAGAGAGCAGAGCTGGAAATCAAACCCAGGGCTTTCTGACTTCAAAGCCACTAGGCCACCATGCCTCCCACACACCATCCGCCAATGGAGACAATGGGGTCACACAGGTCAGGATGCAGTTGCAGGTGAACAGACCAAGCGGCCACCACAATCAAGTCTGTGAGTTTAAAGAATGTACACATGCTCAAGAACCCCAGGGTCAGGGGGCAGACCACAGAGTGGGCACCACCCCTCCCCGACGTCCCTTCCCCTATGGCACAGGGGCTGGCTTCCTTAAGCCCAGAGTGCAGACCATGAGGAAAAAGGTACAATACTAGGTGTGCTCACCTGCCACTTCCACAATCTGGTGCCGGGCGATGTCGTAATAAGGGTCATCCCACTTCAGGTGTGTGGCAGGTTCTGGGGAGCTGCTTTTGGAGTCATCTGAGGAACATGGCAAAGTCAGGGGATAATCTTGGGGGCTGGCACAGTATTCTCCCTGAGACATGTGCTCTTTGCTCCCCCCCCCCCGCCCCAGTAAGGCCTGTATTCCCAGCCCCACCCTGGGTCTGGTCAGTTTGCCCCCATCCTGCCTTCTTGGAGTCTCCCTTCAGTAGGAAGGGGTTTTCCCCTTTAAGGGGCCCGTGGCTGCTTGAGATCCAGTGATGCCCACCTGACTTGGGAAATTCGGGCATTTCATCCGAGGGCCAGTTCTTCTCATCAATGGAGGCTAGCTTCAGCTGGTTCAGAGCCTGGCTGCTGTCATCCAAGGTCAGGTCATCCTGCAGCTCTGAAAGCGGGTCCATGGTCAAGCCTGTCTCCCACAGAACCTAAAGAGAAACCTGGGGGGAGGGGGGGACAGGTCAGTGTCACCGATAACTGCTGCAGCAAGCCTCCTGCCCCGCCCCCGGCCTTTCTTCTCCCAAGCTCTCCTGTCCCTGTTCCTCAATACTTCTCAATCTTGCCAAGAATTCCATGTAGCCCCTGGTTCTCCTGGCGCCACAAGTTTCTGGCATACTGCCAGAAAAGGCAGCTGAGGCAGAGGATGGCACAGCTCAGCAGCGCTTGCCTTCAGGTCCTCCAGCTGGACAGGGAAGAGCTGTGCCAGGCCCTGTACTGCCCACCCCCGAGCTGGTCCACGCCACTCTCCTCAGGGGTCAGAGAGCACAGAAGCTTTCCAGGCCCCAGCAGCTATGAAGTAGAGATGTTGCAAGAATCTAAGGAGCGTGGGGATACTCCAAACCCCATGTCTGAAAAAGGTCAGCTGTGGCCTGGGGAAGAGGAGGCGGTCAGAGACCACAGGGTCCCAAAGGGCCCCGCTGAATTTGCCCCAGGCTAGGAACCAAGAGCGGAGGATGGAATCTGCCTGCCAATCATAGCAGACAGTCTGCAGGCTCCTGGGGGCTCCCAAGCCCACCCTAATCTGCGGGGAGCTCCTGACGCTAACTTCAAGGTGGCAAAGGTCAACAGGTCACCCTAAGGATTGGAGGGCACAGATGGGAAAGGGAGAAGTTTATGACATCATCAGAGTGCCGAGATACAGGCGGTGAAAAACAAAACAGCAGCTACAGCAGGCAGGGAGATGGAAGAGCAGAAACCGGGTTTGCCCAGGTCTGGGGTGGGGCCATGAGGATGTGGCTGCATGCAGCCTGGAGGCAGCACCTTCTGCTGCAGCCCTAACCGGAAGCAAATCCCTCTCCTATCACCACAAGGGTGAGGGAGGGGAGTTTCAATTCGACCCACTCGGTCCAACCCAGAGAACAAACAGGCTGTTCCAAGCTCGCTGCATTCCTGGAGTCCAAAAAATGACATATATGGTCAGAGAACCAGCAGGGTAGATAAGAAGTGCAGAGAAGACGCAGGCACAGAGAGGGAGAAGAGGGGGAAACTGCCAGCGGTGATCCAGACCCTGAACACCTATGAGGTGATGTGACAACCTCCTGCACATGTCACAGCAGAGGACTCTGGATGATAAACTGGCTCCCTGTGCCTAGCAACAACCATCTTGTTACCAAGGCAACCACACTGAGTCAGTGGCAAAAGCAGTTTCAAACTCCTAAGCCAAAGCTGAGCAACCAAACAGCCAAAAAAAAAAAACAAAAAACTTTTTCCTCTTCTTCCCCTCTGGCCTTATCTACTACCCTTATTCACTACCACTGCTTACCACCAAAATATAAGTAGTCCCTTCCCACGAACACAGAGAATGATGACCTTCTCCTATTTGGGAATTTATTTCTCTCATTGAGTGCTGCTGTGTGCCTCACCCCAGCTCCCCCATTCCCCTTCAACCCTCCAAGGCAGGTGACCCTCAGTCCTGAGGAATCCTGCCTGGTTCATCTACATGCTCCTCCCACATTCAACCAGGAAGCTGTGAGGGCTTCCCCCAAACGGCCCCCAGCTGGGTAACAGGGACAGAATTCAAAGTAACTCTCCAGGCCTGAGCCTGCCCTCTATCCCTTCTTTCTGTCACAGCCCTGGCACCAAGTGCTCCTTCAGCCTTGCCCACAGCTATCCCAGAGAAGCCTTTCTGCGTACAGTGGGTGCCTGATACAATGAAAAAGGCATGGGATGAGGTATATGGAGAACTGGATTATAGTCCTAAACCAATGCGTTGCAAAGATGCTGAGCAGTACTTTTCCTATCTGGGCCTAAATTTCCTCATCTATAGAAGTGTAAGGCTCCTCCCAGAAATATAATTCTCCAGTGTTATAAAATACTTGTGCTGAAGTGAACAACAGGATTAGAAAGAGCAGCTGGGAGGTGAAGTATGTATGACGGAAGGAGAGGGTCACCCTCTAAAAGGGAGCCGAACTTGAACTCCACCTCTTTTCCAGTAACTCCTCTATTTTGTCAGTTCTTCCAGAACTGACCCCTCCTTCCCTCCATAACCTCTTCTTCCAGCATAACTAATCACAGTTGTTCCCACGTCCCAGCCAGACTGGCCTATTTCACCATCCTCCAACCCACAGCTGTTCCCCACTATGAGCCTGAAAGCTTAGCTTTCCCACTCAGTGGGAGGGTGAGGGAAGCTAGTGCAGGGAAATTCTAACATAAAGTGGTGGAAATGAAGTATCCTGGCTGCCTAAGACTCCACTTACGTGCAAGCACTGCTCCACTCTGCAAAATACTCCTAACTTAGAGAATAATTTTTCCCTTCTCAGCAGGTAAAAATCTACTTTTACAAAAATCTTTGAGACTCACTCGAGGCAGTTTTCACACAGAGGTTTAAGCTTTGAAAAGTCTGGACCTCTGAAATTCTGATGAGATTTGTGTGTTTTTTTCCCTAAGAAAAATCAGCGCTTGCATGAAATCTTGCATGGAACTTTAAGGGGCTGACAGGCCCTCTGAGAATCCCTGTTTAAGAACCCCTGACCTATTCAGAATTACATCTGACACATGTAGGTGTTCAATCATTTGTTGAATGACTAAATGAATTAATTCATCTCCTAAGTGAGGACGGGAACCAACATTTGTTGAGGGCTGTATAGCACCATGAATTGGACACAAATTATCTTTTAACTTCACCAATGTTATCTTTTAAAATTATCTTTTAACACCAATGAGGCATGTACTACTAAGCCCATTTTACAGTTTGAGGAACAGAAAAATCAGCAAATTGCTTAGAATCATAGGGCAGAGTCAAGATTTTAATCCACGTCCGTCTAAGGTGGTCTCTTTGTGCAGCTCAATCCCTCAATACTTCTCTGACCGTCATTTATGCTATTCTCAAGGTTCAGAGAGGTTTTATAAAAGGGCAAAATAAAGTCTCTCGCCTAGTCTCCTCTGAGAATAGCCGAGATGACACATTGAAATCGCATTCTCTGGCGCTGGGTTCACCCTCCTAGGTGGAGCTTCAGAACTGTGAAGACGCAAATCTCACAATACAACAGCAAGACTTTCAACCACAATCACGTGTGCATATAGCTTAATGGTTTACAAAATCCGGGTTGGTGCAATTATCCCATTTCACAAATTAAGCAATAGAGATGAAAGCGTGCCCTAATAGGCGGCAGAGTGGAACACTTTCCCCAAATTTCTTGTTCTTAGCGCTTCGCCAGATTGGACCAGGGAAGACTTTCCCTTCCCATGGACTTGCTCGATGACAGAGATCTGACCTGGACTCTGCCTTGGGAAGGGCAGGAGGAAGGCAGAGAAGGAAGCGAAGTCCTCTCACCGCGGGCCCGGGAGTGGGGCAGAGACCCCGCTGCAAGAAAGCCAGGCTCCAGGCCCCATTCTACTCCTCCTCCCTTTCTCTGATCCACTCGGATCCTCCCCATCCGGACCCCATCCTTTCAGATGACCTGGCCTGTCCCTTCCCTTCTCCCACCACCACCCAGGGAGAGCCCCGCGCCCTGCAGCTCACCGTGGTCCGGCGCTGCTCCCTCTGCCACGCCTGTCAAAGCTCGGCAAACATCCGGCTCCGCTGTAGAATGGGCACCGCCCCCTCCCTCTCGCCTCTCTCCCCAACCACTTCCGTCACACCTCCAACCCACTTCCGACCCCCTGCCCGGTCCAAACATGGCTTTTCCTGGAGTCCCGCCCACTTCCTGTACGTGCCCGCCTATGGGAAAGGTAGCAGAACTGTCCGACTCGTTCCTCCCAACAGGAGGCGGCTGGAATAATTGGTTCCTCCTTCTCCGAGTGCCTGGTGGCTCTCCGGAATCCTAAACTCGTATTGTTCTCTGACAAAGCTTTGCTTCACTAGTACTGCCAAACTCCCGGTCCTGTGCACCAATGAGGTCTGACTCTTACACGATTCTTTCCAGAGAGGAAATTTGGAAGTCAATGACTGTTTCCGGGGGGAGCAGCGAAGGCGATGCTCACTTCCGGCGGAGGGAGGCTGTCTGACCCGGGATGGAGGAGGCGGAGGAGCTGCTCTTGGAGAGGGAGAGACTGCAGGTCGGTGAGTGCTCTCCGATGTCTCCGACCCTCCACCCTGGCCTAGATACACCTGACATTCTCTGGTCGACTTTCTCCCCCACAACCCTTGTCCTCCCGAGCCCCAGAGCCGCCTCTGTTGCCCTCAGTCGCTGGGGGCTTCCCCAGAGCCCTCGAATCCGCGCAAACCTTTCAGGGGCTTCCTGAGAACCCTTAACGTTACCTCAGACTGCTAAGGCCTGGCTGGACCTGCAGTTTCCTCCTGTGCCTCCCCCAAACCCCACCCCACGACTTCTTGGGCCACCCCCTCACTGCCTTCCTATTTTCCTGCAGCCCCTGGGCCGCGCCTGAACCCGGGCTCAGGATGGAGCCCTTCCGGAGAAGGCTGTGCTCAGGGCCTCAAAGACTTCCCACCCTGGCCGACCCGAGCCGTCCACGCTCTAAAGAGCCTCCCCCGGGGTTTGGCCCTCGGTCCTTCACTGGCCGAGGAACAGCGCTTGGGGGTCTGGTGTGTCGGGGAGCCTCTGCAGCCGGGACTCCTCTGGGGGCCGCTGGAAGACGAGTCTGTCTCGGAACGGAAGGGCGAGGGAGTGAAACCACGGCAAGAGAAGGTATTGAGGGATAGCGTATCTCTTCTACGTCACTGAAAATTTGGAAGCAGTTCAAAAGTCTCTGGACCCTCTCCAGTTTGTTAGAAGCAGGGTATTTTAGGAGCTAGGAGATGGTTTTGACCCTTCTCTCCAGAACTGTCTCTTCCCCTCACTTGCAATAGTTAAGGAATCGAGGTGCAAAAACTTGTTATAAGCTGGTTCATATAGTGCCATCGGTGACAAAAGTCAGGAGCAAAGATTTTGGAATTAAATAGCCATGGGATCATGCCCCAGCCTTAGTACCTAGCTAGTTAAATGGCATGCCTCATTTAACTTACGTAAAATAAAGGAATGGCTGATTCCTTTATTTTAATCATCCAAGATTATTTGGAGCAATAGATGAAATAGCACAGGTAGGCGGCGTAATTGCATAAGAAGTATTACAAAAAAGAGTTGATGTTCCTCTTACTGCTTTTTCTGTTTGGTACTCATTGGAAGGTAGTAATGAGTTCAGCTCAGTAATTCTCCACACCCTTGGGAGGGAGGTGAAGGGACACTCGTTTTGGTCTTTACTGAATGAAAAATCAGACATCACAGTCCTGTAGAGGCAGAACCAGAGACCGTTAATCTTCCGGGGGCTTCATCTTAGATCTGCCTCAGGAGAGGTTACATCTGTTTTGTTTTTGTTTTTCCCCCCACTCTGGCCCCTCAAACACATGGGAGAAGGACTTTTATTGGTTTATTTCAGGACGTGTCACTAGGCCCATGGGGAGACGTGTGTGCTTGTGAGCAGAGTTCAGGCTGGACCAGGTAAGTTACAGGAGAGTATGTACCGTGTTTCCCCAAAAATAAGACCTACCGTATTTGCCGGCGTATAAGACGACCCCCTAACATTTCCACTCAAAATACAGAGTTTGTTATATGGTCGGCTGTGTGCGATTTTGCGAGTGTGGTAAAATCGCATAACAGCAAAATCGCATAACAGCCGAGCATACACCCAGCAGCGCTGCTGATGCCTGAACGGTATGTGGAATGAAGTGGGTGGGCATCGGGAGGCCACTATGGCACGGGGCAAGCACTATGGGCAGTCTATCTGAAGTGTACCTGGCGTATAAGATGACCCCCCACTTGGAGGCATATTTTTCAGGGCCAAAAAATCGTCTTATATGCCGGCAAATACGGTAACCATAAAATAAGCCCTAGCATGATTTTTCAGGATGCTCGTAATATAAGCCCTACCCTAAACATAAGCGCCAGTTAAGATAGTCAGCCATACATGACTGTTTGAATAAATGTTGATTTTTGTACATGAATAAATGTAGATTGTTGGAGCACAAATTAATATAAGACCCGGTTTTATTTTCAGGGAAACACGGTAGTAAAGTTGCTCCTTTTAGGCTGTCTGTTGTGGCATGGGATAGAACCAGAGCCGACTGTATTTCCCACCCAGTGATCTTATGCAGTGAGTTTTCCAAAGGCATGGGGTCCTTTAGGACTTAGACTGACCAAGAGCTGGGGCTTTCAGGGAGGACCCCTGGAAGAGGGTCTCCTGAGGTAGCTCGTGCTCTGCTTTGCAGTTTGGTGCAGCGGGGCAGGCTGCAGGGTGAGGGGAACGTGGCCCCAGTATGGATCAGCGAGAGGCTCCACCTGCAGGTGGACCGGGTCGTGCTGCCAGGCTTTGAACTTCTACTGTGGCCCCGGTCTCCCTCTGAGGGCCTCAGCCCCACCCCACCCAGGCTAGAAGAAGAGACAGCCATGGCTGTGGCGACAGAAGTGGAACCTGCTGTACAACAGGAAGTGGCCTCTGTACAACAGGAAGTGGCCTCTCCTGAGGAGGATGCAGCAGAATCTTGCACAGGTATGTGTCAGATAAATGCCGGCTTCCCATATTATCACCCAAGACAACTCGTTGATAAGACAAAGCAGAGCATACAGCTCAAGAAGTTAAGGACGAACACGACAAAGTCTTGGTAGCTTTTATTTTATTTATTTATTTTTTTTTAGCTCAGCCATCCTGCTACCTGTTGGCAGCTCGGCGGCTGCTCAGCTCGGGCTGGACTCGAACCGTTGTTGCTCAGAGCTCAAACTCTTGAGCGAGCTCTTAACCAACTGAGCCACTCGGCCGGCCCCTTGGTAGCTTTTCTGAGTGGGAAGGGCAAAGCCAGCCTGAGTATTTATTGACATTTTGAAGTCTGATATAAAGTGGATCTTTCAGTGTGTGGGATGGGGGTTGGGCTTGATTTGGATTGGTTAAGGATCGTAACATAATTTAGGATTTGTGGACACAGAAAGGCTAGAATTTCCAGGCAAGAGGTTCAGAGTCTTGAGGAATAAACTACCATTTGATGCTTTCTATTGAAGAGTCATGAGTCTTTTCCTTGGAATGAACATTGTAGATATTCGCAACTTTTGTCTTCCTGAATAAGTTTCCTAGAATAGTAAGGTCATGTTGATAAAGACAGCAAGCTGTGTATAAGGTTTCCAGTTTCTTATATTTCTTCTATCTGGGGTGGGGATAGAGATTCCTTTATTTTCAGATGAGCTAAGGTGAGGAGGTGATGGTCTCATCTCATCCTAAGTGCTTGTCTTCAGAGGGAGAACAAGGGAACTCTGGGATGGCCTTACTCTAGTGATTATCCACATGTCTGGGGCACTGTGGTTCCCAGGGGTACTCCCCCAGGAGGCACCTGAGACTGGACGGGAGGATAAACAGCAAGGTGGCTCACACTCCAGGGAAAAGATGGGTGTCCTTGCTCCCGCTGAAGGTCAGGGGCTGAGTAGAAGACACACATTTCAGTAATTTCCTGGTGACACCACTGTCACCATCTGCTACGAATCTCTACTAACCCCATCACTCCACTCTTGCCTTCCAGATCCTGGTCACCAGTCATCCCCCAACACCCAGGCAGAGAGCATGGTGAGCTCTGAACTTAAGCCCCAAACCCAGGATCAACTTTCCAAGGAGAGCCAACCACTTGGTCTATTGACTCAGGATGACAGCATGGACAAGGAGGACCTTCCCCAGACACAGATGCCACCTGAACCTCAGAGCAGCTCCACAACCCAGCGGGGCCTGGAGCACAGTGAGGCCACTTCCTCACCTTCTGCCGGGGGCACCCAGTTGCACGCTTATCTGGTCAAGAAGTTACATAGCCCCCATAATCAGCGCCCACCCAGAGCAAAGACCTCAGAACCCGGGGCACAGCAGGCCGGAGAGCAGCACCCCAGCCTCTCTGCACACTTGCGGAGCCCTCCTGGCCCGGTGGGAAGCTCCCTGAAACAGGGACGACGGTACCGGTGTGGGGAGTGTGGCAAGGCGTTCCTGCAGCTGTGCCACCTGAAGAAGCATGCATTCGTGCACACGGGCCACAAGCCCTTCCTTTGCACTGAGTGTGGCAAGAGCTACAGCTCAGAGGAGAGCTTCAAAGCTCACATGCTGGGCCACCGCGGGGTGAGACCCTTCCCCTGTCCACAATGCGACAAGGCCTATGGCACCCGGCGAGACCTCAAAGAGCACCAGGTGGTACATTCAGGTGCCCGACCCTTTGCTTGTGATCAGTGTGGCAAGGCCTTCGCCCGCCGGCCCTCCCTGCGGCTGCATCGCAAGACCCACCAGGTGCCAGCTGCCCCCGCCCCATGCCCATGCCCCGTGTGTGGGCGGCCCCTGGCCAACCAGGGCTCCCTGCGGAACCACATGCGGCTCCACACAGGGGAAAAGCCCTTCCTGTGCCCACACTGTGGCCGAGCGTTCCGCCAGCGGGGCAACCTACGCGGGCACCTGCGGCTGCACACAGGGGAGCGCCCTTACCGCTGCCCGCACTGTGCTGACGCCTTCCCCCAGCTGCCTGAGCTGAGGCGCCATCTCATCTCCCACACTGGAGAGGCCCACTTGTGCCCCATATGTGGGAAGGCCCTCCGAGACCCACATACACTGCGTGCTCATGAGCGCCTACACTCGGGGGAGAGGCCCTTCCCGTGTCCCGAGTGTGGCCGCGCTTACACACTGGCTACCAAGCTGAGGCGTCACCTCAAGTCCCACCTGGCTGACAAGCCTTACCGCTGCCCTACCTGTGGCATGGGCTACACCCTCCCTCAAAGCCTCAAGCGGCACCAGCTCAGTCACCAGCCTGGGGTGCCCCCTAGCCTACCCTGCACGCCTCCTGCTTCTGAGCCCACTGTGGTGCTACTGCAGACTGAGCCGGAACTGCTGGACACAGGCAGCAAACAGGACGTGTCCCCAGCCCAAGACGTCTTTGAGGTCACCATTTCCGAGAGCCAGAAGTGCTTTGTGGTGCCGGAAGGGCCCAGCCCCACCCCCAGCCTGGTACTCATCCACAAGGACCTGGGCTTCAGCACCTGGGCAGAAGTGGTGGAGGTGGAGACGGGCACCTGACACCCTCACCTGTCCCCAGCCGAGCTCTGTATAAAGATTAGTGTTTTTCTAGCTGCTGGGTGTCTGAATCTTCTTTCTCTTTGGGTTGCCTGATAGAGACTAGAGTACCAGGAGAAGCAGGCCCAGGACTCCCCTTCCTGCTTATGGTCCACCAAATTGTTTCCTGATACTATAAGGTAACCTAGTCTAGACTTAAGACCTCTTTATCCACTTGAGGTACAGCTTGTTCTGCCTCCTTCCCTGGGAACTCCACAGGCGCTTGTTCTTGAAGCGCTGTGGAAGTGACTCACCCAGTGAGGTGACCTGCTGCCCTGCGGGGTGCTCAGTGCTGGGATAGTCACTCCCATCGAGCTCCCTGAGGGACAAGCTCTTCTACTTGGAACGAAGCTGAGTGACTTTTGAGGGTTAAAAGGTCAGAGACTGAGCTTAGCTCGCAGCCCACAAGTCTCCATCGTTCAGGCTGTAGATTATTTTGGTAGCTTTTCTCACCACCTGAGGGCTGTGAAGTTGTTCTTCCTTTGTGCTCAAGGACACCAGACTCCTTGGAGGTGGCTCGGGAGGGCCCAATCTGTACCCTTCTGTGTCCCCATCCCAAAGGCATCCTTGTTGAAGGAAGGAGTGAGGAATTAATATGTGTTTTGCATCGACCACAGGCCTGGACTGCTATGGGTGCTGGGGGTGCCCTTCACTCTGCCCTGGGGTGGGGGTGGGGGTGGATGTGTTTCACGGGATGGTTTAACTCCGTCTGGGCATCAGGGCAGGCATCCCCAAGGAACAATACTGATAGTAAACCCTCAGCCCCTCAGCCCTTCCTGTGGGCCAGCCCTCTATGTGAGTTTGTTTATATAATTCGCTAGCAACTCTGAGGTAGGTGGCATTAGTAGTAGTAGTATTGTTACTATTATTATTTTACAGATGAAGAAACTGAGGAACAAAGAGCTTTAAATATTCTGCCCTAGGTGGCAGAGCTGAGATTCAAAGCCACAGAGTTTCACGCTGGAGCGAGGCTCTTACCCTCCACACTCTGCTGTGCCTCGTTTCAGGTGCAGCCTGACAGAGTGGGTGCAAGGGCAGGTGGGCTGTGGGAGCTGCATGTGAAAAAGCCCCCTGCTGAGAACCTGGTGGGTGTGAGCACCAAGACCAGCAGGGCTGGAGCAAAGAGAATGAGGGAAGGGGCCCAGGGACAGGTGGCACAGGCCTCGCTGCAGGAGTTTGGACTTGACTCAGGACATCCAGGAACTCCTCGAAGGGTTTTCAGCAGGGGACTAACATGGGCAGATTTGTGTGTGAAGAGACCACTGGAGAAAATCGGTGGGTGGCGTGTAGTTGTGGGGAAATCAATTACAAGGCTGCTCAGGTGGCTGGGGATGGGGTGGTAGTGGAAATGCAGAAAAATGGAGTCATTTATCCAGCAAATGTTTCTTGAGCACTTCCTGTATGTTACTTGTTAAGGATCTGGCTGTAATAGTCTCTGCTCTTATATAGGCACATTCTAGAGTGGAAAGCCATAAACAAATACATGTCAGACTGTGGTAAATGCAGTGAAGAAAAGTAATGCAGGGGAGAGGTTAAAATGGGGAGTGTGCTTACAGAGGGTGCTTGGGCAAGGCCTGTAATAACGTGACACAAGCAGAGACCTGCAGTATGGGAGGGAGGGAGCCATGTCATGTCTTCCGAAGGATTCCCAGCAGAGGGACTAGCACCAGCAAAGCCCAGTGAGTTCACAGAAGAACACGGAGCAAAGTGACCGAGACAGAACATGGCAGGGATCCGTGGAGAGACAAGCCACACCTTCCAAAGCCTGCAAAACAGCTGCTAATACTAAGCTTTAGTCAGCCAACCCTGTTTTTGGGAGCCTGCATGAGTCTTGGTAGGTCCTAATCTTTTCCAGCTCCTGCTTCCGGCAGGGCCGTTTCAACTCTGGTGACCGCTCAGCAGTCTGCCCAGTATTGTTAGGTATCCTGGGGACATATTCTTTGCTTGAGATCGAACTGTGCAGGGAAGTGGGGATGCTCTGGGTTGCTGGGAGGCCTGTTGACACCCCACAAGAATCCTCAGGCCCAAGCCTGGGATGCTGACACCCCCTTGCCACATCCCCCACGTAAATGGAGGACCTCACACCCCCCACCCCCGTTAAGGCTGTCCCTGGTGATGCAGAGCAGAGGCACATCAAAGCTAGCACATTTGAAGGCACCTGGTTTGGGAGCCTCTGCTCGGCAATACTCATGGCTCAAGCGACATTGGGCGTCAGAGAGCATTGTCTGGGCTCTTGGTACAGGTGAGAAAACGACGAGGGAGAGGTCACTTGCCAAGGCAGCAGACCAGTCAGCCGCAGAGCCCAGACGGGGCCCATCTTCCGACTCCTAATTTAATGCTCCTCCAGCTAAAAGTACAGCGCAGTGACTGTTCTTTGAAAGGCTGGGCACTGGAATATTGTTTCAATGAGAAAATATTCCCCCCCCCCGATTTCAAAATAATTCTTGTTCATTGTAATGTCGAAAGTCCCTTATTCCCTACTTCTCCATCCCTTCATCCCCTGATAAAGTCACTTTTAATAATTTGGTGTATGTAGTTCTGAATTTGAATGCTGCTTCCTGCTCTAGGGCAAAGGTGCTGTGAAAATGTTCTGGGTGCCTTCTTACAGATGCAAGTTAAACCACGCAGTGTTTATAACTGCTGAACCAAACATCAGAAAGTGTGGATCTTTTGTCCTGATTTGCAACTTTAATGGTATGAGAAAATCTTAGAAAAAATTTGATTCATGTTTAGGGACCGTTAAGCAATAATACAAAGCATCATAGACTGTAAAGAGCTCCATCTCTGGACAGGTTCAGGTGTGGACCATGCCTCTGCCCTTGACTAGCTACATAAACTGGGGCAAGTTACTTAGCTTCTTGGTGTCTTAGTTTCTTCACCCATAAAACGGGCATAAGTATGTATCTACCTCATCAGTACTGTGTACCTGGCATATGGTGAACAATCAAAAATTGTAGCTGGTTATTAATAGTATTTTTAAAAATTATTAGTTTCAGGTGTACAAAACAACATAATGGTTAGAAATTTACATCCCTCACAAAGCGGTAACCCCACCAACTCTTTTACCCATCTGACATCGTGCATAGCTATTACAATGCCATTGACTATATTCTCTATACTGTACATCCCGTGATTATATCTACAGAGGATGCCAAAAAAAATGGATGCACATTTTAAGAAAGGAAAACTATTAAAATTGTAATAATATATACTGATAACAAAAGATGAATACAAGTCACGTTTGACTTCTGCAATTACAAGAGATGCTCAAAGCGGTTACCATCAGCGTCCAGACACTTACGATTACGACGAGCTACTGCTTGAGCAATGTTGACCAAAATGTCCATTCGTATACATTTTTTTTGCACCCCCGGTATATTTAATTATAATTGTCATTCAATATTATGTTAGCTTTAGGTGGTTATTAACAGGATTGTGATCAGTCCTAAGTTGGAAGACAAGCATGATTAAGAACATGTTTCCTATAGGTATTGCTTGTTTGGGGCAGACCAGCATTAAGCACACAGCTTTGTACTGGGCTGTATGTCCTCGGTGTACTTCATAGTACATTGAGGCTACATGCTACCAGAATCTCAGGGGACGAGGGTCATGCAAGGAGAAGGGCAATGGTCTGAGGCAGGCATCTGGGTCTCAGTCCTGACTCTACCACCCATTCTCTGTACGACCTTAATCAATTAGCTTCCCCACTGGGAGCCCTCCATTTCCTCAGAGTGACATGGGGAAATTGGACCAGATCACTGGTTCCCAATCGGCTCCACCATGCAACACTTGCGCCAACTTTTTTTCTTTTATGGATCCCATAGTTTAAAAGATTTCTATTAAATCGAAATTGACAGGGCCGGCTGAGTGGCTCAGTTGGTTAAGAGCATGAGCTCTGAGCAGCAGGGTCGCCAGTTCAATTCCCACATGGGCCAGTGAGCTGCGCCCAAGCTGAGCTGCTACTGAGCTGTGAATAGGTGGCAGGATGGCTCAGCTGGTGAGAGCACATGCTCCTAACAACAAGGTTGCCGGTTTGACTCCCTCATGGGATGGTGGGCTATGCCCACCCGCAACTAAGATTGAACATGGCACCTTGAGCTGAGCAACTGCAGCCGGATGGCAACTGGACTTGGAGCTGAGCTAGCTGCACCCTCCACAACTAAGTTGAAGGACAACAACTTGGCTGTTCCCTTTCCCCGATTCCCCAATAAAAAAGTTTAAAAATAAGAAAAAATAAGAAATTGACTTACTCATATTTTTTTTTTATCAAAACAGAAAACTGATCAGATTGAGAAAAATGTAAGGTAATTAACCACCCAAAGAGACATAATTTCAGCCACAAGGGAAAAACATTATTTTTGTCTTTGGATACATTTACAATTTTGAGGGGTTTTTTTGTTTTGTTTTTAACATGCAAAAGGCCAAGGCCACTCTGTGGTACATGCACAGGGTCATAAGCTTTGAAATATCTGGATTTAATAATATCTGATCTTTCTTCCAGCTCTGAAATTATGTCCTGGAACATAATTTTAACGTTTTCAGTGATTACGGAGCTTCGCTGCATAACATAGTGTTGGTTTCACCCGTGATTTTGTTTGACACCAACGTGTTGGGCAGAAATGCAACCCCTCATTGTGGCCTTGCTCTTAGAGGGAAATTGGTCTGCTTTACATGTGCAGGCATATGTGTGTGGTGAAAAACAGGAATGACACGCTCAGTTGCATGGTACCTACTGGGTCCAGAAAGTTCCAAAAAGAATGGTTCCTAGAGGCTGGGGGACTTGTATTGGACCCTGAAAACTAAGGGTGTGCTGGGTCTGTTGGAGCCCGGCACCCCTGGTGGTGCCACCACAGCCTGGCAGAACTCTAGATCCTTCTAGAGCCACTCACAGAAGGGATGCTCTCCCTCAATCCTCTCTGCAAAGTAAAGATTGTAGATGTGGAGGCTATCTAACTAGAATCCACTTAATACTCGCCATGTTTGTTTCATCTGTTTGTTATAAATTCTTCAGTATAATCTATAACTCATAGGAATTTTAAAAATATAAGCATGTCGCATAATACTTAACTAAATTAACAATTTCTTCATTTATTGAGAACCAAATCTATTTAAATTTTCTTGTATGTCAAAAAAATGTCTTTTTACAATTGATTTATTCAAAAAGCTAAACCAATCGTGGTAATTCATTTCCCTTTGTGCATTTGGTTATTAGATCTAGCTTAGGTTTCTATAATTCTGAACAGCCTCTCTCACCCACCCCTTTATTTCCATGTCATAAATTTGTCAGAGAAACTGGAGTTATTTGTCCTGTCAGATGCCCCTCATTCCACCACTATGTGGTGGTGTCTTTTTTTTAAAAAAGATTTTATTGGGGAATTGGGGAAGGAGAACAGCCAAGGTGTTGTGCTTCAATCTTAGTTGTGGAGGGTGCAGCCAGCCCAGTGTGAAGTCCAGTCGCCATCCGGCCACCCATTTGCAGCTCACAGCCGCTCAGCTCAAGGTGCTGTGTTCAATCCTAGTTGCGGGGGGTGGGGGAGCATAGCCGACCATCCCATGCAGGAGTTGAACAGGCAACCTTGTTGCCAGGAACATGCACTCCCACCAGCTGAGCCATTCCGCCACCTGCTAGCAGCTCAGCAGCAGCTCAGCTCGGGCACAGCTCACTGGCCCATGTGGGAATCGAACTGGCGACCCTGTTGCTCAGAGCTCACACTTCTAATCAACTGAACCACTCAGCCGGCCCCAGTGTCTTATTCTTTTATCATCTATATTTCCTGTAAACTAGTAATTAAATCTAGAGGTTTGATTTGATCCAGGTTCACTATTTTAGGAAGAGCCCTTCATAGCCGGCATTGTGTATTCCCTTTTTTATCATCATGTCATGTAACAGTGCTGTTTATTTAGTGCTTACCATGTCTCAGGCATTGTGATACTTCACAAACATGTTGTATTTGGGGGCCGAGTAGTTTAGTTTTTTTTTGTTTTTCGAATACAGTGCTTATTTGTCTTTCCTTGGTCAAACTCTGAGCCAACACTTTTCCCCAGGCTGCCTGGGGAAGTATAGGGAAAGAAACATACAGGGCAGATGACACAGGGGAGAAAGAGCTATGGGAGGTGGAGACAGCTCCTTCATGTGAGGAAGAGGATGAGAAAGGCCACCATGAGGCAAAAGAGCTGCAGGGCCTCAGAGAGCAAAGCCCAGAATGGCGTAGAAGAGCTGTTGCTTCAAAGGAGGGTTCCTGACATAACCAGTAATGAGGCCCCCAAACATCGTCCCAATTCCAGTCCCAGGCCCAATGAACTTGGCTGCTGTGTCGACGTCCCTTGAAATGGTGCCTGTTTGGAGGCTTCGGCTAGAAATAAGTGAGGTCGGGGTATGTGGGGCTGCCAAGCTGCTGAGGCTCTCATCTGTCAGTGTCTCAGGTCGTTTCAGCACCACTATGGACAGTGGTTGGCTCAGCAGCTGATTGGTGCTCCTGACCAGGGGGTGGAGACAAACCTGCGAAGGCGCACATTTTCAGGGACTGAGGGGCTGTGGCTGGAGAGCTGCTCCCAGAGCAGGGAAGGCAGCTAGTTTCGTTTTTATTTAATGATGATAAACTTAACTCTGAATCCAACTAGACCTGGAGGGAGATAAGGATGGAATCCAAAGAATTGCAGCAAGCAAGAACACAACAATTGCAGGATATGAGAGCTAAAGTTATTCTCAGGGTCAAAAGGAATTGTTGGAGATAAGATAAAAACACAAAATCAAACTGAGAATGGCTTAGAGTCTTCTTGCTGGTCATGTCATTCCTGGATCCAACGCGCCCCGTGGCTTCTACAATACCCATGCCGTCTCTCTCCTGGCCAGAACCCATGCTTGCCATCCAACCCATCAGTCTTCACGGCATAGATGACAAATTGGGTTGGGTCCAGCATTTGCCATACATGAGATGTCAGGACCCATATTCCTCAAAATGAAGTTCTCCCCCTAGATAGATTTGCCACCGATACTATTATGGTGTGTAAATTCATCATCCTGACAGGTAAACCCAGAAATAAGTCTGGGAAAGCAGGAACCCTTATAACCGAATCTCATCTTCCCAGTGCTCAGAGAACTGAAGGTTTCTGCTTGGGAACATTGTCTGCAAATAGCTTGAAGAAGACATGGCCTGACAACTTGCCCGTTAATGGCCATGTCTATGCATGACCTCGGCAAGGCTCAACTCCACATAAGTCAGCAAAGAGTCCAGTATGACCTTACTTAGCTGTGAGTGAACATTGTTGTAATTCTGGTTTTACAGATGGTGAGACCAAGGCCTGGCCTCCCAATCTCTTTCATGCTGTGGTGCTGCTCTGTCAGGATTGGGGATTTCTGACAGAGCGAACAAGGGGGAAGTCAACAAGAGGGCAGCTACCCCTGACCCCCAAACCCTCAGTAGAAGAGGTGCCATGTGTTATGTGTTTTGTCCTCCCTGCCACACCCCACACTCCCCCCACGCCCACCCCTTCCCTCTCCAGGTTGACTCAGCATTGGCCCAAGCTGGTCCTCAGAAAAAGAAGGATCACTCACCTCCAGGCAGGAAGGATGAAACCACACCTCTCTTCTCTCCACTTCTCAGGAGCTCTCTCCTTTTCTCTGCTCAATATGGAATGTTTAAAGAAATTAGTGAGATGAGATCTTTTCACCATTCCAGTAAAAAAAGGGGGGGTGGGGGTGGGGGTGGTAGGCTCAGTGTCATTAGTAACGGATACAAATTAAAACCATGATGACACACCTATACATCCATCAGAATGGTTAATGAGAAATGGCTTGACAATATAAGGTGTTGGTAAGGATATGAGCAACTGGAACTCTCAAACATTACTGGTGACAGTGTAAGCTAGCACAACCACTTGAAACAACTATTTGTCATAACAATTTAAGCGAAACATGCCTGCCTTATGACCCAGCAAATCCACTCCTGGGCCTGGACCCGAAAGAAACAAGTGTTTATCTACAGCGAAAGACTTGTACACGATTATTCATAGTACTCATCATAATAGCCCCAAACTGGAAACTAATCCAAAAGCCCATCAACAGGTGAACGGAAATCAAACGTGCCGTAGTTATCCGATGAGAGACTACACAGCTTTAAAAGGAAGGACTGCTACACACAGCAGGAGTGAAGCTCACAAACGTGCTGAGCGAGAGAAGCCAGACACAAACAGGCACCTGCTACAGGTTTCCATTTAGATGGAGTTTAAAAACAGGCAAAGCTGATATGTGCTGATGGTGGTTACAATAGAGGTCATCTTAAGGATGACACAAAGGAGTCAACTGGGGGCTGGCAATGTTCTCTCTCTTGATCTGGTGGTGGCTACATGGGTGTATGCATGACAGTTTGAGTTAAACACTTAGGATTTGCTTTAACATTACTGTATATAAGTTAAATCTCAATTTAAAAAATAGAAGAATAGGGGGCCGGCCGAGTGGCACGTTGGTTAAGAGCTGGCTTGGAACGCCAGAGGGCCCCAGTTCGGATCCCACATATGAGGGCCAGTGACACTGCCTTCCACAGCTAAGATGCTGAACAACAGCTCAACCTGGAGCTGGGCTGCCGTGAGTCACCAGCAACTGCGAAGGCTGCAGCCCCTGCTGCAGTGGGTTGCCATGGGCTACCGTGTGTGGCCAGCAGCCAGCAAGAGCAGCCAGCAGCCGCCGTGAGCAGCCGTCCAGAAGCCGGCGACTGATCTGCCTCACCCGGGAAGAGCGCAATGATGGTGCCAACTTGGGCCAGTGAAGCAACGTCCTCCACAACTAGACTGAAGAACAAAAGGATAGCAACTTGTCTGTTTCCCTTCCCCCAATTCCCCAATAAAAATCTTAAAAAAAAAAAAATAGAAGAATAGGAATATGTAACATAAATATATATAAATATAAATGTAGGAGCTGGGCCACCCAGGAATTAAGCTGATTTGTGGGAGTCCTGGTCCCCAGTTCTCTGCTTTGGGGCCCTCCCTGTGATCTTCCCAGACCCTGATAACCGCAGTCCAGACCCTGAACGGTCAGCCCGGAAGGACAGCGAGGTAAGAACCTGTGCTCCCTGTGTTTCTGTTCTTTGTCCCTCTGCCCTACTTAGACCCAAAACTAATATTTACCTTGTGCACTGCAAACAGGAAGTGGGGGGGGGTGCGGGAGCAGGGCTGGGCGGGGGCTGTGTAGGACCACCAGGTGCTCTAGGCTGGCCCAGGGCCCACAGGCAGGGGGGCAGCGAGGGGCCCCACCACGGAGACCCTGGGAATTGGGCCGGCTGGGCAGCAAGTCCTAGGAGATGAGAGGAAACAAAACAGAGGCCTAAGAGGCTCTGGCCCTGGCTCCTCCTCCCAGGCAACCACTGCACACAAACACTCCTCCACGGCGCCCCAGATGGGCAGCAGGGGAAATGGGACCTTCTATCAGTGGCTGAGAGGTTGGGATGAATGGTGGCTGTCCCTGCCCCAAGTGTCCCTAGGGCAAGGTGGGCAGTGCTTTTCTGACCACACCCTTGTCTCTATTATATCTGTGTATTGTAATCACACAACCCCCCCCCCTCTTGGTTTACATCCATGTACCTGGTGATTATTAAGCACTTTCATGGGCTTTACATTCACAGTCTCCTTTAGTCTTCACATCAAAGTACTATTCCCATGAACAGATAAGGACGCTGAGGCACACAGAGATTAAAGTAACCACCACCACATGTTAGGATTGGAAGGAGCCTCAGAAAGACCTTGTGAGCCCCCTGGACCAAGTTGGCCCATGCCTAAGGGAAGAGGGGGCCCTGGGTGATGGTGGTTACACGGGTCTCTTTTGTGACTTCCTCCCAGACCATCCATCTCTGGTCCCAGGAGGACCTGTGCTCCCAAATGGCGGGATCAACTATTCCACTCTGTGGACTTGTCCCCAAGGCCCTGACCTGCTGACCACTCCTTCTCAGCTGATTTCTTCATGTTAGTTTAACATTAACCTGAGAGGTCAGGATGAGACCTCAGCGTCCCAAGCCGACATACTATGGCGCACGTCCGAGGCCCGTGGCTACCTGGCTGCCTGGCCTTGGTTGCCCTGTTTAGCCTTGTGCACAGCCAGCATGGTAAGGGGGCTACTTCTCTCTTGCAATATGGGGAGTGGACTAGGGGTGACCAATGAAAGGAGGGGAGCTAGTGGGCTACCATTAGCAGCCTTTCAGGTCCTGCCGCCATCCCAGACACCCCCTTTCAGAAGCCAGCAGGGCAGGCCAGGCTTGCTTTCTGCCCCCATGATGGCCAAGACAACCAGGCTCCCTCAGGCCAGTGTCCCATGCCCCTCCTCCTGCAGTGTTCCTGGAGCCTCAGCAAGCACTGTCGCTGCTCCAGCGGGTCCGACGTGCCAACAGTGGCTTCCTGGAGGAGGTGCGCAAGGGCAACCTGGAGCGAGAGTGCGTGGAGGAGCAGTGCAGCTACGAGGAGGCCAGGGAGGCCCTGGAGTCTTCCAGTGCCACGGTGAGGGCGGGCCGGGGTCCCTCTGAGTGGGCCCAACTCTAGAGCCACAAATGAGGGGAGCAAAGAACATCACTGCTCTTGCACTTAATTTCATCTCTGGGTCCCATTTCACGGGGCTGCCAAGATGAACAACCTTACTTGGAGGTCCCGATGACTGGTCTCAGGGCGTGGTGAGGCTCCAGGACATCGGGGGGCCTCTCAGCCTTCGGACCTCTGTCTATATCGGGATCTCTGGAGCCTCTGGCCCCCGTGGCCTCTCAGCTTCAGCTTTCCTGCTAACTCTTGGCCACCCTTGGGGTGTGGGACTCTGGTGAGGCTGGAAGCCCTGGACCTAGGCCTCTATGTTCCGGGAATCCTGCGGCCTTTCCCTTCCTTAGGGCTCTGCCTGGGCCCCACTGCCAGCACCCCATGCCCCATCTTCTCCAGTCTACACCAGCCAGGGGAATCCCTTCCGGACTTGGGTGGGGGTGGGAGAGCTTTCTTGTCCTCAGTGGGCTGGAGCTTTTGGAAACAAAAGTAAGAAACTCTGCCACAAACCTTCCCAGAGAGACCAGGGGAAGGGAAAGAGAAAAGTATAAGAAGACGTAATGTTTACTAAAAACCAAAACAAAACAGGGTCCGGCCACAGCCTCATGCTCAGCCCTTGCTTTTCAGGATGCATTCTGGGCCAAGTACACAGGTGAGCACTGGGAAGGGTCGGCTTCAGGAAGGGAGTCCTGGGGGTCCCACTTAGAGAATGTTCTACCCTTGAGATTCTGGTCCATTCAATCACCCCCCCGCCACCTACCCGTGCCTCTTTTTCCCCTGCCTCCCTCCCTTCCTCCTTCCTCCCTTTCCTCCCTCCCTTCCATCTGTCTGTCCATCTCTCTGTTTCTGAATGTCGTCCCACCCTTCACTTGAGCCCATCTTGTCCCTACCCCAATCCCAAAGGTGTTTCTGGGTCTTTTCCAGCTTGTGAGTCGGTGAGGAAACCTCGGGAAAAGCTCGTGGAATGTCTGGAAGGTGAGGAATCGATGCGGGGGTGGGAGGTCAGGATATGAAGGGGACAGCCTGGGAGAAGAGCAGAGTAGGGATGGGTCAGGAGGTTTCCCAGCGGTAGCAGTCCCCAGCATCTGACACTGCCTTTCTGTCCCTGCTGTCGAGGATCATTAGCACCTGGCTCTGGTAAGATGATTAATGTTGAAGGAACAAATGAATGAATGAATGGATAATGAATTAATTAATGTTCAAGGCCTCATTCTCATCTAAGCCACTGCCCATGTCCCCAGGGCAGAGCTCCGAAGATGTCACATTCGTTCTCCAAAACCTTGAGTGGCTACCCAGTGCTTCCAGAATAGCACCAGCTTCTTAGCCCAGCAAACATTGCAGGCTCTGGCCTTAACCTCCCCTTCTAGCCTTATCTGCCATGGCACCAACCATGAACCCAGACCCCCAGCTACTCTGACAGCAAGCTCTTCTCTGTACATGCCAAGATGGTTCTACCTCCTCACTCTTGCTTACATTGCCATCTTCCTACCGAAAATGTCCTGTCCTTCAAAGACTAGTTCAAATGGCACCACTTTGCTGAGCCTTCTGAATACACTGTTAGTGTGAGAACAGACCCCACACCATGAACTCTTTAATCACCACTGGCCATACTTTCATTTGTTAAATAACTTATTAACAGACATTTCACTAAGCCCCTGCTAAGTGCCAGGCACTATGTCAAGTGCTGGGTGTTTTGAGAGAATCAAGGAGCTCACAATTTCATAGGAAAACAAAAACACAAAACATCAATTCCTGGAAAAGTTCTGTTCCAGGTGCCAAGAGAATGCCAGGAGAAGGAGCTTTTAGTTTGCTGACAGAATCAGGGACAGCTCCCCAGAAGAAGTAGAGTTTTACCTGGATTTGTGAGATGCTCTGATAAACAAACAGGAGAGCATTCCAAGGCAAAGAAAATAGCATGTGCAAAGGCCCTGAGGCATGAGGCGCTAAGATAACAGGACGGGTAGACCAGGGTCAGGTTAGGCCCTGTTCACTTTTTCATCCTGCTGGTCATGAGGACCCACTGAATATAATAAGCTCCATGACTATGACTGTCTTATTCATCACTATGTCCTTAGTACCTGGCACTGTGCCTCCCAGAGGGTTGTCACAGTAAATATTTGGTGACTACTGTTAAATGGATTGGAGAACCGCTGAGTGCAGAGGAGGTGCTGAGTAAATGCAGGTTAAGGGTCGTGAGCCAGAAGGAGCTTGGAAGGGGTAGATGGAGCTTTGCTAAGACAAAGGGGAGACAAATCCTCAGGGTAAGAAAACTGGGCTGGGGTCTCTGCAGGTAACTGCGCTGAAGGTCTGGGTATGAACTACCGAGGGAATGAGAGCTTCACCCGGTCAGGCATCGAGTGCCAGCTATGGAGGAGTCGCTACCCACATAAGCCTGAGTGAGTGATGGGCAGGTCTGTCTGCCAGTGGGCTGAGAATGGGGTGGGAGTCAAGGAGACACTGAGGGGGCATGGCCTCCAGCTGAGCCATTTCCTTTTCCAGAATCAACTCCACCACCCACCCTGGGGCCGACCTGCAGGAGAATTTTTGCCGCAACCCAGATGGCAGCAGCACTGGGCCCTGGTGCTATACTTCGGACCCCACCATGCGGAGGGAGGAGTGCAGCATCCCTGTCTGTGGTGAGCTAGGGGCGATTAGGCAGTCCATGGCCAAGGCGTCTTCACGGGGCCTGGCAGCCTGGAGCAGAAACCAAGATCCTGACTCCCTTTAAGCGGGGGTTAGTCATGTACGACATATTTGGGCCTGTCGGTCAGGAGACCAGGGAGAATTGGCTTCCAGCCTCCTTCCCTCCCACCTTCACTTCCTTCTGACCCAGGCTGTGGCTCACTCCAGATATGCTTTCCTTCCTGTTTGAGGCACTCTTGCCTCCAGGAAGCCCTCCCTAACCATTTCAGTCCACGCGCCCTTTCTAGCACCACCGAGCAAGCCTCATACAGTCCAGCGCTGTCATTATTATTTCCCGCGATGTGTCAATCAGCTATAGCTACAACCATGCTGCAAAACCTACAAAATCACGAACAACCACAAAAGCTCAGGGGCGTACGTCAACAAGCACTTATTTCTTACGTGTCTGAGGGTCGGCTGGGGTGGCACTGCTCATGTGTCTGTGGGGCCCATGATGTAACCTGGGCTTGGCTGGTGGCTTTGCTTCAAATGATGGGTACAGCTGAGCTTGGCTCTTTGTGTGGGTTGGGTCGAGGTCTGCTCCACAAGTACTCATTCTGGCAGTAAAAGGTGCCATCTTCCCATGGTGATGGCAAAAGTGCAAAACAGTGAGCAGAAACACACACTGTGTCTTCAGGCCTAGGCTCAGAACTGGCACAGTCAATTCTGCCCATGTTCCATTGACCAGAGCAGCCACAGGGTCAAGGTCAAGAGGTAGAGAAGGCATGCTGAAATCGACCTACTGCCCTCTGTAGATACCCTTAGTCATCCCAGCTCTCTTTCCTGCTGTGCCTCTATAAAAACACAGAATCTTTCTTTAAAAACTCCAGGCAGTCACTACCAATAGACTACAGATAGCCCTGTAATAGATTACAGGAGGTGAAACCTGGTTACTATCTCCCTGGCTTATTATGCACCAGTTATGACATGTATTTTGTTTAAATTTCTCAATGACCCTGAAAGAATGGCATTAGCAACCCCTTTCATAGGCAAGCAAACTGAAGCTCGGAGAGGTTAAGTTACCTGAGGTCATACAAGAAGAAGGCTGCGAGGCAGGGGCTCAAAGCCTGACTGTCTGGGTACGTGTAGTCCCACTCTGCTCCCACGTGTAGTCCCACTCTGCTCCCTTGCCTTCTCACCCACCAGGCACAAATGGCGTCACTGTGGAGCTGACCCCCCGCTCCGGAGGTGCCAGGGTGAATGAGTCACCTACAGTGGAGCAGTGTGTCCTTGAGCGTGGCCGGCATTACCAGGGAAGCCTGGCGGTGACCATACACGGGTCCCCCTGTCTGGCCTGGGCCAGCAGTCAGGCTGAGGCCCTGAGCAAGGACCAGGACTTCAGCCCCGCAGTGCCACTGGTGAAGAATTTCTGCCGCAACCCAGACGGGGACGAGGAGGGCGCCTGGTGCTACGTGGGCGGGAAGCCTGGTGACTTCGAGTACTGCGACCTCCACTATTGTGGTGAGAGGGCAGGGCCTGGGGAGGGGGGCTGAGACAGGAGACAAAGCCTGGAGGGAATAACAAGAACAACGCCTTCCTTAATCTAAGGCTTATCACATGAGCACGTGAGTGCGCTCATTACAGCTGGTCCATTACCCAGGTGGGAATAGATTTTAACCCCATTTCACAGCTGAGTACAATGAGGCCACAGGGAGTTTAAATTGCCTAGTAATCCAGGTGCACTTGTGCTCTTAAACTCTGCACCAAATGGTCTCCTGTGCCGGCCAGAGTCTTGGGGAGGTCTAGAGGGTGGGTGAGGAGCGGCTCAGCCCGGTCCCAGCCGGTACCTGGGTCCCTGCAGAGGAGCCTCTAGACGAGACGGGCGACGGGTTGGCCGAGGACCCCGACGCAGCCATCGAGGGGCGCGCCACCACTGAGGAGTTCCAACCCTTCTTCAATGAGAAGACCTTCGGCTCCGGGGAGGCAGGTGAGGCGGAGGGGGCGGGGCCTTGACCCGCGGGGCGGGGCCTCAGGCCTCGGGGGCGGGGCCGCCGGGCGCCGGGTAGAGGCTGCGCTCGGCCCCTCACCGCATGGCTTGCTTTGCAGACTGTGGGCTGAGGCCTCTGTTCGAGAAGAAGTCACTGGAGGACAATACGGAGCAGCAGCTTCTGGAGTCCTACATAGGCGGGCGCATCGTGGCGGGTTGGGACGCGGAGATGGGCCTGGCGCCCTGGTGCGTTCGCTTCCCTCACAGGCCTAGACTTCAGGGATAACGAGAGCCCAGCGCAGCATCTCGTCGAGTTCTCGCAAGTCTTTGGAGACTGGGTTTCTTCTCACATGCAGAAGGCGACGCTGCGCCTCAGAGAGTTGTAGGGACTTGCCTAAGTGACACCGCTAATGGGTTGCACAGCAGGACTTGAACCCAGTTCTGCTGACTCCATAGCTGTGCTGAGCTGCGCAACTCTGAACCAGAAGAAGCTGGGGAGGGGTGCAGAAAGCAGGAGGCCACCCCTCGCTGTCACATGGATGCCCCAGTCCCCAAGGGTGGCTGGGTCAAGCTGGGGTCTGAGTCCAGCAGGCAGCTCTGTCCAGTTAGTTTTAAATCTGGGACGTCCTACTTCTAGGGCTGGTGGAGGGGCAGCTCCTCAACTCTAATGCGTCCTGTTCCCCCTCTTAGGCAGGTGATGATTTTCCGGAAGAGTCCCCAGGAGCTGCTGTGTGGGGCCAGCCTTATCAGTGACCGCTGGGTCCTCACTGCTGCCCACTGTGTCCTGTACCCGCCTTGGGACAAGAACTACACTGAGAATGACCTTCTGGTGCGCATTGGCAAGCATTCCCGCACCAGGTATGGAACCGGGGGCCCAGGGCCGTCTGGTAGGGCCGAGTCCTCCAGGGTGATGGTGACGGGCTGTGGTGGTCCATCTTGCACAGTAGAAAATCCAGCAGTCTCTGCTGTAGAGTCCATGTGGCCATGTCCTGACCTAGGCTGGGAGCTAGGGTCAGAGAAACTAAGGCTTTGCAGAGTGCAATCCTGGGCTACCCCTAGCTCCCCTCCAGACACCAGGACATGGTCCAGGTGTAACTTCTGAATTGAGACTGTCAGTAGCATGGCCTACAGTCTCTGCTTCCCTCCCCCCATTTGCTTGGGCTGTTTGCCTCCAAAGCTCTGTGCAGCTCAGTCCAGGAAGGAGCTGCCCGGAAGCTGCCAAGTGCCACCTCACTGAGGACCTGCTGGTCACCCTGACTCCCAGACCTTGAGGGCAGGCAGTTTCCTTCCTCAGGGAACTGCTGCCCCTCACTGGGTGACTTATGGCTTCCCCGTTTCTCTGTTGGGGTCTGCGCAGGTATGAGCGAGGCATTGAAAAGATCTCCATGCTGGAAAAGATCTACATTCACCCCAGGTACAACTGGAGGGACATGCTGGACCGTGACATCGCCCTGCTGAAGCTCAAGAAGCCCATCACCTTCAGCAGCTACATCCACCCTGTGTGCCTACCCGACAAGCAGACAGCAAACAGGTGGGACGGCCAGGTGGGGCGGCCCGGGGGCCACTAACAGATGCCTGGGCTGAGTTGTGGGCCTGACGGCCCCTGTGTAGGCCTTGCAGAAGTTTCTTCCCTTTCCCAGGCCTCAGTTCCTTGGAGCAATCCCACAAGTTCTTTCTGCATTGGTGTTTGAGGTTCAGGTCTCTTGCTGGGGCCAGAGGTCCTAGAGAGGTCAGTTCTTACTAGGTCCGTCTCCTTTCCTCAAAGATTGCTCCAGGCTGGACACAAAGGGCGGGTGACCGGCTGGGGCAACCTGAGGGAGACGTGGACAGCCAATCCTAGCGACTCGCAGCCGAGTGTCCTGCAGGTGGTGAACGTGCCCATCGTGGAAACCTCTGTGTGCAAGGCCTCCACTCGGATCCGCACCACTGACAACATGTTCTGTGCCGGTGAGTTCCCTGGGTGTGGCTTGGCAGGAAGGCACGGCAGGGCCTCAGGGTTTGGGGGGTGGGGGTGGGGACAGGTTAAGAGCACAGACCGGTTCAAGTCCTGGCTTCAGTCGCTTATAAGCTGTCTGACTTACAAGCCATAACTCTGGAGGTTCAGTTTCTTCCTCTGTAAAATAGAGATAAAAGCATCCATTCCAGAAGGTTGTGTGAGGCTTCAACACAATAGTGTATACAAAGTGTTAGGCATGGAGTTGGTCACTGGTTGTCAGTATGTGTGAGCCTACAAAGGGACCAGAGGCTGTGGGGGGCCGGGGGGTGGAAAAGCTATTCATTTGTTCAGTTGTTCAACAAATGTTGATTGAGTGCTTACTGTGATCCAGGCAGTATTCCAGGATCTACAACAAGGACCAAACAGATGCCTGTGTCCTCAGAGATCTTCCTTCCTAGAAGGAAGAAATGTCACTAAACAGATCTAGAATAGCAGTCACCGCTAGGAAGAAAAATCAAGCAGAGTAAGGGAGAGAGAAATGGGGACAGGGGCAATCTTCTAAATAGAGTGGCTGGAGAAGGCCTCTCTAAGAAGGTGATGTTTGAGCAGTGATTTCTTCACTGGAAGAACTAAAGGGGTGAGCCAGTCTAGGGGAAGTGCACTCCAGGCTGAGGGGACAGCAGGTGCAAAGGCCCTGAGGTGGGGGCGTACTTGGCATGTCGGAAGCAGAGCAGGGAGGCCTGAGTGGCTGGAGTGCAATCAACACAGGAAGAGCAGCAGTAGGTAAGGAGAGATTGGTGGGCGGGCAGAGGACGGGCACTTCCCTTAGGGCCTGGAAGAACTTTCGCATTTAAGATACAAAGTTTTTGGAGGGTTTGGGGCAGGTGAATCAATGGTCTAACTTAAATTAAAATAAAAAAATTTAGTATAATTTCAGACTCAGAAAAGTTGCAAAAATAATACAAGGGCCGGCCGAGTAGTTCAGTTGGTAAAGAGCTCGCTCAAGAGTGCGAGCTTAGAGCAACAGCGGTTGGATGCCCGGCCTGAGCTGAGCTGTTGCTGAGCTGCCAACAGGTGGCAGGATGGCTCAGCAAAAAAAATTTTTTTAAAAATAATACAAAGAATTCCTGTATATCATCACCCAGATTCTGCCATCCCCACTTTGTGTATGTGTGTATGTTTACACACACACACACACACACACACACACACACACACACACACACACACACATACACACATACNACACACACACACACACACACACACACACATACACACATACCGGGGGTGCCAAAAAAAATGTACACAAGTGGACACTTCGGTCAATGTTGCTCAAACAGTAGTTGGCCGTAATCAGAAGTGTCTGGACGCTGATGGAACCACTTGGAGCACCTCTTGTAATTGCAGAAGTCAAACGTGACTTGTATTCGTCTTTCATTATCGGTATATGTTATTTCAATCTTAATAGTTTTTTTCTTTTCTTAAAAGGTGCATACATTTTTTTTTGGCACCCTCTGTATACATGCACTGTTCGAGAGCAAATTGTACATACGGTGTCTTTTTACCCATATAATTGAGTATTTCCCCAAACCAAGGATGTTCTCTTACATAACCACAGGACAATTACTAAATCAGAAACTTCATATAATCCCATTATATAATCTGTAGACGTTATTAAAATGTTTTTCACTTATTCAACTTGCTGTCTTTTATAGCAAAAGAAAATAAAAATGTTTTTTCTCACCAGGACCCAGCCTGGATTACTTATTGTCTTTAGTTGTCCATCGTTCTATGTCTTCCATGACCTTGAAATATTTGACGAGTACAGGGCAGTGAATCTCTAGATTGGCCCTCATTTTGGGGTTAAGGTTTACTCAGGAGCAGAACGAGGCTAAGTGTGCCGTGGCCTTCTCCATGCATCCCATTAGCAGACATGTGATGTCAGTTTGTCTCTTAACTGGTGAGATTAAATCTGACCTCTTGGTTAAGGTGGTGTCTGAATCTGCCAGGTTTCTCACTGTAAAGCTCTGGTTCTTTCTTTATAATTAATATCTTGTGGGGAGAAACTTTGATATTGTCTATCTTATTTCTTATCAAATTGTGCTCCCAGCTATGGTGGCTGCCAAATGGTGATTTTCTAATTCTGTCATTCCTTCTACATTTATTAGTTATTAATCTACTGTAGGGAAGACCTTTCCTTTCATTCTATCCTTGTGGACTCATGAGGCCTTACTTTATTCTAAGGGTTATAATTTGTTATTGTCATTATTTATTTTGATCAAATTATCCCAGGCTTTGCCAGTAGGAGTCCCCTGTTTGTCCCTGTCATTCTTTGAGCACTTGCTTTCAGCACAGCCAAATGTTGATGGTTCATCCTACTTCTCTTCTAGCGGGGAATGGTATTTAGAAACCAGGATCTGGGTGGTGAGGGGTGCACATTGCTGCTGAGCTGTCATTGCTCCTAGGCCTCTCAGCAGACAGAACTGGAAGTGTGTATTATGCATAAACTAATCTCTCCCTCTCTCTCCCTCTCTCCCTCTCTCCCTCCCTCCCTCCCTCCCTCCCTCCTTCTCCCCATCTCCCCCTCTCCATCTATCTAAAACCATGAATTCAGATGGAAACCTCCCACTGCAATCCAACAGGATTAATTTTAGCTTCTCCCTTTTCCCATTTACAATTCTTTGTTGACATGAGAAGCCTGACTCTCATTTTCCATATTATATTTACTTATTTGATCAGTAGTAGAATACACACTTTCAGAATCACTCATGAATAGCTGTGAAAAACTAGAGTTCAGCATTTCTTCAGTTATTTCTGTCCTTAGCCTGAGGATATGTAGTTGAAATACTATGTTCAAAAGAAACTTGGGTTCATTTTTTTTTCTCCCCTTCTGTGTTATTTATTTAAAATAACAGTTAGGTTCATTTGTTTCTGACTGTATTCAGTTTTGCCCCCCCCCCTCCATCTTTGTTGTTTTTATTTTACTTTTGGAGTATTAACATGGTTCTAAAACTCAGACTCTTTGAAACAGGTACACTCACAGAACTGACACTCTCCTTTCCCTCCTGTCCTGTTTCCACCCCATCTTTTCACCCCATTTCCATCCAGGCCCTCAGGGTAACCAATCTCAGTAGTTTGTGGTTTAGTCTTCTTGTTTTCTTCTTGAGAGCAGATACTTGTATATACTGTTATTTCCTTTTTCTTCCACACAGGGTAGCTACTATAGATATTCTTTTGTACTTTGCTTTTTTTCACTTTGTGTATCCTGGAAATTCACTGCATATTGGTTATAGAGTTTTTCCTTATTCTTTGAAAAAGGTTTAATAGCCACATTATACTCCCATTATGTGGATGTACCCATATTTTAATCAACAATTTCCTGTGTATGGGCATTTAGATTCTTTCCAATATTTTGCAGTTGAACATCTTTTCATATACTTAGTGACCATTTTTATATCATGGTTTTTGCCCATTTTTTTGCCCCTTTCTCATCAATTTTAAGAGTTCTTCATATATTAGTGATATTAGGCCGTTGTGATACATGTTGCAGATATTTTCTCCCAGTTAGTTTTTTAAACTTTATATATTTTTTGACAATTAAATTTTTTCTATGTAGTCAAATTTATTAACATTTTATCTTATTGCATCTGGGTTTTGAGTTAGAGTTAGAAAAACCTTCCTTATATTCAGGCTGTGGAGAAATTCACTCATGTTTTCTTCTAGTATGTGGTTTCAGTTTTCTTAGATCCCTGAGTCATTTGAACTTTATGCTTGTGTATGATGCAAGATATGTTTCAAATTTATCTTTTTCCAAATGGCTAACCAGCTGTCCCTACACCATTTATTTTTTATTTATTTAAAGATTTTTATTGGGGAATTGGGTGAGGGGGACAACGTTGGGGAATCGGGGAAGGGGAACAGACAAGTTGCTGTCCTTTTGTTCTTCAGTCTAGTTGTGGAGGACATTGCTTCACTGGCCCATGTTGGTANTTGCTTCACTGGCCCATGTTGGTATTATCATTGCGCTCTTCCTGGCTGAGGCAGATGGGTCGCCGACCATTGGACGGCCACTCACACCGGCTATTGCTGGCTGCCAGCCAGCCACTCACGCCGGCTGCTAGCCACTCACGATAGCTTATAGCAGCCCACTGCAGCCTATGCCATCGTTGGTGACTCCTGGCAGCCCAGCTCCAGGTCGAGCTGTTGTTCACCATCTTAGCTGTAGAGGGCGTAGTGTCACTGGCCCATGTGGGATCCGAACTGGGGCCCTGCTGCTCAGAGCTCATGCTCCCAGGCCAACTCTTAACCAATGAGCCACTCGGTTGGCTCCCTACACCATTTGTTATAAATTCTATCTTTGCCCTAGTGATTTGCCCTTCATTACATACTAGGTTTCTATGTGGACTTAAGTCTGTTCCTATTTGAAGACAATTCTATTTGGTTCTCCTGGTCTGTTTATTATATTAAAACATTGTCTTCTTTTAATTATAGAAGCTTTAGCATATATTTTAATATCTGGTAGGGCTTGTTGTCCCTTAGTTTTTCTTTTCCAGGGTTTTCCTGGAAATTCTTGCGTGTTTGTTTTTCCGTATGAACTTTGGTATCAACTTGTCTAGCTCCATAAAAAGGCTTGTGGGTATTTTTATTTGGATTATGTTAAATTTAGAAATTTAGGAAGAACTGACATCTTTTTACTGTTGAGTCATTTTATCCAAGGGCAAGAAATGTCTTCCCATTTGTTCAGGTCTACATGGCCTCTTTCCAGAATGATACAATGTATTATTGTTTTCCCCCTGGCACCTTATTTTATATATTTAAAGTTTTTTCCTCTTAGTTTTCTTGAGTAAATTAGCTAGTGGTTGCAAAAACAAACAAACGATGCCCAGGAGTTTGACTTACTAATTAGGCCTATTGTTCAATTATGTACTGCATTAATTTCTGGTTTTATCTTAAAATTTTTTTTTCTTTTGCCTTCTTTTGCTGTTTCCTTTCTAGTCTTTTGAGCCAACAATCTATTTTTTATTTTTTAGTAGGGCTATGCATTTTCCTCTTCATAGAAAACACTATGTAGTGTTTTCATTATCATTATTTTTTTAGAAATTCTGTAATTTCAATTTGTATTCCTCTTTCACCCAAGAGTTGTTTAATAGGTGGTTTTTAAATTTCCAGGTGGGAGGGCCTTTTTGTATTTTGATTTTGTTAATAATTTTGAGTTTTGTTGCATTATGATCTGAGATTATTGTTTGTAATATTTCTACTTTATGGAACTGTTTTGAGAGAGAGCTGTTTGATTAATTTCTATGAATGTTATATGTGTGCTTGAAGTGTGTAGGTGTGTTCTGTATTATCTATGTGTAAAGTTTGATGTATATATTCGTAAATGTACCATAACACTTGCCATTTAGGTCATTTATATCCTTATTTGTTTTCAGTTCATTGGATCTGTCTTATACTGAGTTTGGTGTGTTGAATTCTCTTATTAATGTATTTTTATCTGTCTCCTTACATTGCTTGTAATATACAGAGGGTGCTAAAAAAAATGTATACACATGTTAAGAAAGAAAAAAATTGTATTAAAATTACGCTGATGGTAACCACTTTGAGTACCTCTTGTAATTGCACAAGTCAAGTGTGACTTGTATTCCTCTTGTTATCGGTATATATTGAGTAGTACAATTTTAATAGTTTTTTCCTTTCTTAAAATGTGTAGACACTTTTTTGGCACCCTCTGTATAAATTTTTTACTTTATAAATGTGGTTGCTGTGATATTTGGTGCACATATTCATAACTGTTATTTATTGTGACTGTTAATTATTGTGAATTGTGGCTTTTAGCATTAAAAGCGTCTTTCCTTATTTTCAATTTCAGGATTGCTATCCCTGCTTTTTTTGTTTCCCTCCTCCCATCTGGCAACCATCAGTTCGTTCTCTGCATCTATGAGTTTACGTTGTTCTTTAGATTCCACATATAAGTGAGATCATATGGTATTTGTCTTCCTGTCTGTCTTACTTCACTTAGCATTATACTCTCTAGGTCCATCCATGTTGTCACAAATGTTAAGATTTCCTTTTATATTTTTTTATGGCTGAGCAATATTCCATTGTATATATGTACCAAGGCGTTTTTATTCTTATTTTTTTTTGTTTCCCTATAGAATCTTTGTATGGATCTATTTAGTTTTCATCTATTCATTTTGTAGATTTGGGGTTATTTACAAAGGTTTATGTTTCAATTGGACTCACTTCTTTTATCCAGTAGATATTTTTCCATCGTCATCTCCACATAAGCTTTAATATTAGGTGTACAATTAGATATATTAAATTGATTTGAAGTTTGGGTGTTCTCTGTATTCTAGTTATGTTGCAGGTGTGGTATTTGTGTGTAGCTTCCATTGTTGTTCTGCATTGTTGAGGATATGTGGGGAGACTGGATAAGGGCAGCTGCCATTATCCTCGGCTACCTGTAAGTCTAACGTATATTTTAAGTCCTTCTGCCTGTTGGATGGAGAATGGATGGAGGTGGGCAAAAGTGGAATTAGGGCAACTAGTAGTTCAGGATAGAGGCATGTGATGTGACCAGGCATAGAAGTGGTGAGAAGCAGTTGGGTTTGGGATATATGGTGAAGAGAGAGCTGAGATTTGCTGAAGGATTGGCTGTATGGGGTGAGGAAATGACAAATCAAGGATGACTAAAAGGGACCAAGTGGACACTCACCAGCTATGTCACTTGAAGGGCAGTGGCTGGAGAATGAGCTATGCTCCTGAGGACTGCTGTTCTCTCTCAAGGTTACAAGCCCGATGAAGGCAAACGAGGGGATGCTTGTGAAGGTGACAGTGGGGGACCTTTTGTCATGAAGGTAAGCGAGCTTCTCTAAAGGCCAGGAGCTGGTGGGTAGATCTGGGGGGTAGGGTGGGCAGGGAGGGACCCGAGTTTTCAGAAATACTTGTCTGATAAGGTCATACTGACACTACCTTGGGCTTGACTATTGGAAACCCCATGTTTCTTCCTCAGAGCCCCTTTAACAGCCGCTGGTATCAAATGGGCATCGTCTCATGGGGTGAAGGCTGTGACAGGGATGGAAAATATGGCTTCTACACACATGTGTTCCGCCTGAAGAAGTGGATCAAGAAGGCCATTGATCGGTATGGAGGTTAGGGGGCCACCTACATTCTCGGCTCCTCACTGTGAAATCACAGAAACCAATCCAGTGGAAGAACTATTTTTGTGGTTTGTTCCTAAAACTATAGTTCTCAATAAAAGTGACTCTATCTACGAGCCTCAGTGCTCCCAGTGCTGTTCGTGGCAGCTCGGACAGAGCCGGTACCACTACTGGATAAAGAGGACTTAATAGAATCCACCACTCCTAGAACAGAGCCAGGTGAGAGGAGAGAGATAGTCATAAATACACCTTATCATTTGTTCTTTAGGTCACTTATATCCTTGTTTTCAGTTTATTCGATCTGTCTTATACCGACTGCCATTCCTGTTGGGTGCATTTATTACTTGGGGACCTAGGCGCTATATACAGCCTAGAACAGGTGTGGGAGTGTTTCACCTGATGTGAAATGCTCATCAGTTGGTCATTATCTGGAGGACTGTGTGAAGAAGGGTCATCCCTGAGTTTGGAGGGGAAGAGTGGAGCCTGAATGTCTGCCGTGGGTACAAGAGAGGGGAGTGGAGCATGGATGCCATGTGGTTATCATTCTTGGTCTAGGATCTTCAGCTAAGATCTTTAAACTTCAGGGTTTAAGGTGGGAAGGGACGTAAGTAGGTACCTTGACTTCCCTTCCCTCCCTGTTTTTTTCCCCTCCCCTTTTTTTCAGTACTTCAGGGAACAGAGAATCTGAGTTCTTTGCCCTCATTCTTCGGTTCTGGTTGACCAGCAAGCAAGCAGGGTAAAAACTGGGACTTCAGTGAGCTTGCAGGATCTTGGCAGCCCAGAGCTTTATAACCAGAGCAGGGAGAAGGGATTAAGAATCATAACATCCCAAATCTTTTTAAACAAGGGCACACATTCTCACAAGACTGCTTCCCTCCAACATAGCTGTTAGCCTTGTAAGCTCTGGGCACTTTCATTTTCAAATTAGCTGTGCTAATCCAGACCCAAGCACAGCCGTTCTTTTCTAAATAGCTCTACTCTAGCGATGAACTCCATCTCCCCTTCAGCAGATGCTCTATTATACGGGGGAGGCAAGTTGAGCTTCAGGCAGTGCAGGGGCCGCCTGAAAATCATGACTGGAAGCATTAGAGGACTCCTTTGCCATCAACCTCTCATTCCTTGAACACCAGCTGAGTAAGAGGTAGTCTAGACGAGTTCCTTTGAACTTCATGACTGCCCCCAAAAGTCTGCCATCTGAACGTATTGGGTTGTCGGAAAAGTCATGACGTATTTTGTCTCTGTTTTTCAAAGGTCATTTATTTATATAAAGAACAAAGATCAATCAATGATATATTGCCCGTTTTGTTCAATAACCTTTTGCCATCTTTCAGTGAGCTTCATAATTCCTCATTCATAGGAAGATCTGTCTTTATTTGCAAAAAACTGAACAAGGTGCTGGTTTACAGCCTCATCTGAATTGAACGTTATTTATCACACAAGAAGTTTTCAAGAGAGCAAAACAAGTGGAAGTCTGACGGCACAAGGTCAGGCGAGTATGGTGGGTGTGGTAACACATCCCATCCAAGCTCCAATAATTTTTGACGGGTGATCAAACTTGTGTGTGGTCTTGCGTTGTCATGATGGAACACAACTCCTTTATAATGAACAAGCTCTGGACATTTCTGGATGATGGATTCATTCAAACTGTCCAATTGCTGACAGTACACTTTCGAATTGATTGTTTGGTTCCTTGGTAGGAGCTCAAAAAACATGACACTTTTAAAATCCCACCACACTGAGAGCATAACCTTCCTCTGATGAATGTCTGCTTTTGATGTCATTTGAGGCAAATCATCACCATCGGGACCAAGACCATTTGCACACCACATTGTTGTAAACAATCCACTTCTCATCACCAGTTATCAGTTGCTTCAAAAAAGGATCATTTTGCTCATGTTTAATGAGCATATTGCAGATGTTTATATGCGTTGTCAAATGAACTTCTGTGAGTTCATGCGGAACCCAAATATCGAGCTTGCTTACGTATCTCAGCTTCTTCAGGTGGTCGTGAACACTTGAATGATGGATATTCAATGTTTCTGCAATCTCTTGTATCATGTAACGTGGGTCTGACTTGATCAATGGCTTTATGTTGGCGTCAACCTTGGTGGGCCTCCCTGACTGAGAAGTGTTGCTGAGATCAAAAGCACCAGCACGGAATTTTGTGAACCATCACTGGCACTGACGTTCTTGTAGAGCATTGTCACCATAAATTTTATGCAACTTTTCACAAGCTTGATACCGCATTCTTCCCTTTATGGAAGTAAAACAGTAAAATATGGCAAAAATGCAGTTTGATCTTTCATCTTCAACTTCTAAAATCTCCAAAACTCAACCAAAACGCTCTATTTTTTTTTAGAATGAAGCTAGAACTGTCAGCTGTCAAATGACATAGCAATAACATAGATGCAAATGACTCTAGTACTTCCAAAAATGAACTAGTGCCATCTGTTGCAAACATGCATCATGACTTTTCTGACAACCCAATAGAACCTCTTAGTACTGAAGTTTTCCTTTTTTTTTTAAGATTTTTTTTTTAAGGTTTTATTGGGGAATTGGGGGAGGGGAACAGCGTTGGAGAATTGGGGAAGGGGAACAGACAGGTAGACAAATTGCTGTTTTGTTTTTCAGTCTAGTTGTGGAGGACGTTGCTTCACTGGCCCATGTTGGTATGATCATTGCGCTCTTCCTGGGTGAGGCAATCGGTCTCCGGTCATTGGCCAGTGGCTCACGGTGGTTCATGGCAGCTCTGGCCCACTGCCGGCTGCTCATGCTGGCTGCCAGCCACTCAACATAGCTCATGGCAGCCCACTGCAGCCTATGCCGTCGCCGGCGACTCACAGTAGCCCAGCTCCAGGTTGAGCTGTTGTTCATCATCTTAGCTGTAGAGGGCGTAGCGTCACTGGCCCTCAATGTGGGATCTGAACTGCGGTCCTGCTGCTCAGAGCTGGTGCTCCCAAGCGAGCTCTTAACGAGCTGAGCCACTCCGCTGGCTCTTAAAGATTTTTTTTAATTGGGGAATTGGGGGAGGGGAACAGACAAATTGCTGTCCTTCTGTTCTTCAGTCTAGTTGTGGAGGACGTCGCTTCACTGGCCCATGTTGGTATTATCATTGTGCTCTTCCCGGGTGAGGCAGTCACTCACTGGCCACTGGACGGCAGCTCATGCCAGCTGCTGGCTGCCAGCCACTCACGGAGCTCACGGCAGCCCATTGCAGCCCCGCTGCCACCGGTGACTCACGGCAGCACAGCTCTAGGTTGAGCTGTCATTCACCATCTTAGCTGTAGAGGGCGCAGCGTCACTGGCCCATGTGGGATCCGAACCGGGGCCCTGCTGCTCAGAGCGAGCGCACCCAAGCCAACTCAACCAAAGTGCCACTCGGCTGGCCCTGAAGAGTTTTTCTGACTGGAGCGAGGCCCTGTGAAATTTATTCCAGAGGTGACTCCTCAGTTCACAATCTGGTCCTCTCTCAGACTGAGTAGGAAGCAAGTGTTAGTCTAGACCAGGGGTTGGCAAACTGAGACAGAAGAGCGGCAGGGGTCAGCAAACTGCGGCTCGTGAGCCACATATGGCTCTTTGGGTACATACATGTGGCTCTGAAGTAAAATTGAAAATGAAAATAAAACTATCATAGTTTCATTTATAAAAAATTTCAAGGATATCATTCACATAATGGTGATTACGTAAAAATATATTCATGGCTCTCGAATAATTTTTAAATTGTTGTGAGGGACAGGATTGGCTCTTCCAGGGGTCGGCATACTTTTGAGATGGAATGTACCCAAAGAGCCGCGTGTGGCTCGTGAGCCGCAGTTTGCCGACCCCTGGTCTAGACTCAAAGAGACTCTAATAACCAGGCAGGATGCTCGTAAGCTCTCCCACACACCTTTAGTCTAATGAGCCCAAATCTAGTTGCAACCCCTGGGCACAATCTCACGTGCACTTGGGCAGCAAAGTGGCAGGAAGCCTAAGAGTTCTTGGGACCATAGTGATGACGGGAGGGAAGCCATGACCAAAACCTCAACACAGGGAAGAGTGAGATTCCTTTGCTCCCCTCAGAGCTGCATGTGGAAAGCAGGAAAGGTGGGTTCCTCCTGTTCCACAGGAGTAAGAGAGCCACGTCTGTGACCCAAGAAGTGGCAGCGTTCCTTAGGTCACTTTTAACCTTTCTCTAACTGGCTGAGTACTCAGCTGGTCCACAGAACAGGTGGCAAAGAGCTGCCCACACTCCCAGGTATGGAGCATCTTGGGAGAAGGGCACAGTTAATGCAAACTTTATTTATAAAAGACTCTTAAATTAGTTGTCTCATGCCATGCATTCATCCAGAATACAGTGACCCTTCAGGGCTACAGGGAGAAGAGCTCACAAACTCAAAGGAAAACTATTAAAGAGTTTCTAGTAGTTAAAAGCTAGGAAAGATTAGGACAACTTTACAAATGAGCAATTAAAAAGAAAAAAGGATATGGAAACTAGTCTGAGCTGAGGGCAGCTGTTTACAAGTCTGTACACTAAACTAATACACAGACAGTCTTCTAGAGGCAGATGCTGGCGGAGAAGCAGATATGTACAAATGCTTGTGCCACACGACTCCTCCCAGATCCATGTATGATACATACAGCCAGTTCGTGTACCCTAGGCCCGCCGAGGCCGCTTTAACTATGAGGACTCTAGTTTAGTAAACTAAAGCTGCAGGGGCTGGGAATGGGCGGCTTTATTTGCGGCTGCTCTTTATTCTCTCCAGTCTCTTTTTCAAGTCATCAATGTTAGCTGTGGACGAGGATGTGCTCATGCTTCCTGAAGAGTGAGTCTGGTTAGGATCCAGCTCTGAGTGCTGGTGCTGCTCCCGTGACTCCCGGAGCTGAGAGAGTTTGCTGTGCAGCATGTCTGTGGAAGAGGCAATGGTAGGAACTGCTGGTTTGGACAGCAAAGAGGTCAGCGGAGGCCGGTCATCTTGCTGTGGAGAGAAGAAGCGACATTGTCTAAGCAGGTCCAGAGGTGGCTCTGGAACCACATACACCAAGACTGGGCCACTTCGGGGCCAGCCTGTCCCTGACCTGCTTGTCACTGCCCCCGACCCACCCAGAGGGAAAGAAGCGGTACCTTTGTATTGTCCAG